CAAAGAACCTCATGTTCTCATGGATTAACCTTTTCAAAATCATGCCGAATTTCTACACAATAAACTCAGGACTCAATGAATTCTAGAATCACTTAAGAACAACGATCCAAGTCGTTATCAGAGACAACATCTGAGACACTGCCATGATTTGGGCTCTTACAATTAGCAAACAATATAAAGACAGTTATGTGTTGAATTCATCTGAATTTTCTAATAGTTTTAACTGAACATAATAAATAATATATCAAATGCTGACTTGTTATTGTATTTGAAAAAACCCCAACCCATTTATATTGAATACCCTATACCCAAGATAGGTATCATGTTCACCCAAACATGGATTCATTGAAGCACTAGCCTCGACATATTACTGAAATACAGTTCTAATGTGTGTTACATTCCAATATCAAACGTTGAAGAATCAATGATTCTAGAGTCACTTTGGTTACTTAATTTTACAGGGGTTCAAAAATCTTTTTAAAATCCACTTGCCACAGGGCAAGTGACTTTAAGAAAGTAACTTGTCCTGGCTATTTTTCCACTTGCCCTGATTTTTATGACATAATCATGATGATGTAATTATGAAAGAATAAATCAACATGGTATTTGATGTTAATGTTCACTGGACTAGTTATAGAGAAATGATAAATGGCAAAGAAGGATAACTCTACTTAATTATCATTGCAAAATTTAATAGCTACATTTTGAGCAGATATGAAATGAAATCCAAGTTTATTTGCAGTTTGAAACTGTAAGCGGAGATTATCTAATAGCCCACTGACAAGTAAGATACCAGTATTTGATTGCCCGAAATGAAAACTGACTTGTCCCGGGCATCGGGCGATGGGATTATGAACCCCTGTTTTATAACGATACAAATTGTGGAAAGTCATGTTGACACACTTCTAAGAATATAGCAAGCTATCTGAAACTCTATCAGCTCTCTGGTTGAACAAAAACATGACAGCTGATAAGTTCTGATTGAAACCTGTTTTAAAATATTAGTGGTGTAAATGTTCACAAAAATAAATATTTTAGTGTTGAACCAAGAGAATTATCAAGTATATGACAGGCTGCTGTCTTGAACCCGGTCACCAGACCAAACAACAGAACATAGTTCCCTCATTAATAATTATTGTTTAACCTTTTCACAAAAGACATCATTATGACTGTATAGGAAAGTGATACAGCCAATACATTTATCTTTATATGGTGAGGCAAAATGAGGTTAAACATCGTGTTCTAAATTATTGCCCTTTTCACTGATGGCTGGTGGGGTAGCCTTGTGGTTAAGGCATTTACTTGTTACACCAAAGACCCGGGTTCAATTCTCCACATGGGCACAATGTGTGAACCCATTTCTGATGTCCCCTGCCGGGATATTGCTGGAATATTGCTAAAAGCGGCGTAAAACTAAACTCACTCACTCACTCATTTTTACTGACATGCATACCCGTGTTTGTATATTAGTGTGTTGCTGCTTGTCCAAGTCAGTCAAGTCTTTTTTGTGGGCTTCAATGTCACAGTTTAACATTTAAACTCCATTCAGACACAACATTGACTGAGCCAACCGGTCCTTGTTTTGTCCTAATATCTCTTATCATGCCGTTAATGGAGAGCACCAGGCAAGGAAACAACAAGTGCCATATTTTAATGTTTTCTGGAAAGACTCTGTTGGGAGACCTAACCACCAACCTTTCGCTCTCCCAGCAAACATGTTTTCTACTAGACTGCAGTGGTGCTTCTTTCACCAGATCTTCTGCAGTTCAGTAATGATCGTTAACATATCACTTGACATTAGTCCATGAGTTGACTGAATAAAGCCAACAAGAAAATCTTGTTTCCATGGTAGTCACCAACACTGCAGATTCATCTCAACTGCCTGTTGACAGGCAATTCTGATACTGTAAACAAGTGTCTCACAGCATCAGCAACAACAAGATCTCAATGGAGGTTGGAACAATGATCAATAAATGGCCTTGATCAGAAGTCAATCAATATGGAAGGAAATGTACACTTTTGTGTGCAGTCATGAATTCTGCAAACAATTTGCTTATTTCAATCAATACTAGAAAGTTCAGGCCTGTGGTTTTAGGCCTTTCTTCCATTTAGTGACTGAGTCTGGTGATATCATTTCCAATAAAGAAAGATTAATTTATAAAAGTCAGTAAACTCAGATTAATATGCATAACAACACTATGGGAGTTTTTCAGTGAGCCGTCTGCAAGGTTTACAGCAGTGGGTAACACTTTAAAATATCCACTGGTTTAAGTTGCCATAAATATTCATGAGGGGTGGAAATAACCCATTGCCCGACGTCCGAGTCCAGTGTTTTTATCTGTCGGGCAAGCAAATTCGTATATCACACCGTACCGGTGTCCAGTTGACTTTCCAAAGTTAGTTATGTTGTTTATTTTAAAAATTCAACAAGAAAACGGATGGTATAGTGGAAAAAGTATCAGGGCAAGTGATTTTACATGTGCCACTGTTCCGGAGTACACAGGCAATTTTAAAGTTATTAACCCCCACACACACACCCACACCCACACACACACCCGTAAACTCTATCAAAACTGTGTCTAGCTGATCAATGTCAGCTGTTAACTAACGCAGCAGTAGAAGCAGAACACCCTATTGCATCATAGACAGTTGTTTCACTCGTCATGGCCAGTGACTGACTCAGCCTTTTCTTTATGGTGACCTCTCCTGCACTACCCAGTTAGATTACAATATACATTGCCTAAGCTGGTGACAGCTAATGTTATTGTTGAAGTACTGAAAACAAAGTAACAGCAACACTGGAGTGGATCAGTAGTACTTAAGTGGATCAGCAACAATAAGTGAGTGGTGTGATAACAGGTCACTTTCCCCAGTGGTGAAGTTAGGTCCCATGTGGGTTAACATCACGTTCAAGATTGATGCACTTTTAAAGCTACACGTATGTGTGTATATGTCTTGAATGTGCATGTGTGTTTACGCACCTGCAGCAAGGAGCATACATGCTCCGTGTGTGCATGCATGCATGCATGCCCCCACAAAGCCACAACACATCAGCTTGTGGGGGGTTACAGCAGAAGATGAAAACCGCTGCAGTGAAACCTTTAACTTCGGGTACCCATAATCACTGACATAAAGGAGTGTGAACGCTGCTTTTTAGCAACATTTCAGCAACGTCATGGCTGGGGACACTACAAATGGGCTTCATATAATGTACCCTAGACTAATGTTTAGTCCCTGAAAACACATAAATTTGATAGTAGCCAATAAACCCATTTAAATTGAAAAGGAGCCCCTGTACACAAGGCCTCTACCATAGTTTTATGTCACCCAATGTGCTTGTTAATTAAGAGTTGACAGATGAAACTGTGAGGCAAGATTCCAGACCACTGTCAAGGATGTTGGTCCGGCCAGCAATGGTAGTTAGATATGTTTACTTTGTAACCCGACCCCCAAAGTGAGTTAGTTTTCTTGCAGATGTTAACAGACCCTGAACCTGAGGAAATCTAGACTTGCTTTATTTAGGGCTTTAGCATTGCAGGGAGGGCTAAGCATTGGGGAAAATAATATGGTTCAGGGACTGTGAGACAGACTAAATGTACCCATGAGGGGAATTGAACCCAGGTCTTCAGTGACAGCGAACACTTTAACCACTAGGCTAGTTTGGGTGAATGTTGTGCTCAGATCCACGAGTGAGTGAGTGAGTGAGAGTGTAAAACAGTTTTGGACAGTATTCCACTTACATCACAAGTTTTCAGCTTGATGTTGGATGAAAGCTCTAAGTGATATAGGCCTTTGAAGTTTAAAGGTCACATGCAACGTAAAACATAACTTTGCAGATTCTGATACCTTTCGGTATGGACATACCGAAACAAATCGTCAAAAATGCAAATTCAACTTATAAAGTTGAAAAATAACGCGATGAAAAAAACAGCGCGAAATCGGGAGTTCAAACGTTTCACTAATTTTCCCCAGACTTTTCTGGGGAAAACGGGTTTCAACAGCTGGGCTGCGCTCATAGCACGTGCGCAAGTAAATAGGTTCGCGCAGCTTGGAAGCGGGTTGTAGGGTGAATACTCGGTGAAGGCTTTGGTGTGAGCTATTTTTCTAATGTTTTGTTGATATCTCACAGGCGCGAACTTTTTATATGTTATGACAGTAAATTAACTGTTTATATAATTTCATTTGTCTATTTCACCACACGTTCTTCTTACCGAGACACTTTCTCAGTTTGATACTTAAAAGCAATGTCATTATTTAGCGTTGACACAATTTCTAACTGTGATATAGATATGTCGTTGTCACAGACAAAACTCAATGTCTTGTTTTATTAACACCTGTGTGTCTGCCTGCCTGTCTGCTAATGACAATATTCAATACACAACTGCAATCACTGACCACATGCAATTCGAACTTAACACCAATATCAGGCTATATACCATAAACAAAACGCATTGATTTATGGCCCGAGTTCGGTCTCTGTCACATTATGTAATTACACAGACAGGCAGGTGTGATACTTGAACACATGACATGTTATGATGTCTGTTGATTGCAAAATGTTATACACAAAAAATGAGCATGTATTTACAAAACCCAACATCTCTATATATACACACACAATGAGCCATGAAGGCGGCATCTGCTAATGAACCAGCCGTTACACTTGAGTGCACACCCACCCGCTCTGACTGGGTTCGGTATCCCGGCTGATTCGTTTCGAGGGAGGTAAACCCAAGTACAAAATATTGCACTTTTGATTTGCGATTATACGCTTATAATTTTGTTTATTTGTTTTTTCATAATCAGCAATGCATATTATATGTCATGAAGAAGAGATAATTGTGTTTTAATTATGTTTGATTTTTTGGTTGCATGTGACCTTTAACACAATGGTGAAACCCATAATCACCGGTATAGGGATGACAAACCTAGACACAATCAGTGCCAACTGGGACCTGTGTCCCCCTTTTGTGATGAAGGTAACTGACTTGGATACTTACCCTTATTACATTCTTCCAGTGCCTCTGTATGTTTTCTCTGCAAGACAAACAGAAAAAAGATAACATGTCAAGGATAAAATGCTTGGTCAATGAACTAATTGCTGTATTTTAAATCTCAAATTAGGTGTAGCACAAGATTCCCTCAATATTTACTAACAGGCCTGGCCAATTGTTTGAAGGATCAACATAGCCTAAATGTTTAATAGATATCAACTTATGATAATGTTTGAATAAACATACTACTTTTAATCAGCATTTTTGCTACATTTTGGAGACAAAATTTATTCCAAGTTTTTGAGTTGACTGCAATGTATTTATGTGATCAGACTAGGTATGTTGGCCTGACGACCATGTAAGCTCATCAGATACAGCAACATAACACAAGATAACACAACTGGGTCACGTCTGACATGAGTCAAGTACACTGCCATCTGCATATTTCAGACAATGCTCTCAAAATGTCTTTGGAATTGGACAGTGCTCTGATAATTATACAGATGTGAAGTTCAAAATTAAACTAACTGGCAAGTCATATAAAAGCTCCATACTTCCACTACTTTCCACTATTACTGGCAAATACCAATAATAGATAACTGGAAAAACAACTGGAACACCTTATGGTCTGGGGAAAAAACCTGGAATACACCCCAGAGTCAGCTAAATAAAATAAACAGCAACACAAACTGTCCTTGGTTAATATAATGAGATGAGATTTCAGATGTACAGTATACACTATACAGGGAGATACACTCAGTCTTACTCAGCACAGGTATACTCCAAGGGAGGTAATTCGGTCTCTCGCGTGACCAAATCTTTTTTAAACAGTCACTCATGATCAACTTAATGACGGACCAACATAACATTCCTGTTGGAAATGAAGATCGAAGTTTATCAGCTGTTGGATTTTTTCTTTTCAGGAACAGAAGTGTTTTCTGTAGGGTCGTGTGATGAACAATGGAACATATTTGTGCTGATCAACAAAAACAATACATGTATAATCCTACCTTTTTTATCCATCTTATGCTACAAGCTGTTTCAGGTACCAACCTGTACCAGTCTTTGCAATTCATGCTACATTGCTATGCCCATGAGACAACAGTTTTGTGATGACGAAACAGAGAAATCTAATGAGGAAGAGCATAAATCTAATGATGGTGGTTCATACTAACAAATAGCAGTTGAACTAGTTCTCAATGCTTCAATTTGGCACAGAAACAGAAAAACGCTGAACAGTGAATACACTGTGAACGGTTTGGTCTTGTTCAAACAGTACCCACTAAAACATGTGAGAACAAGGGAAAATATGGTGAAAAAAGGTTTATGCCAATCCTTTAGACTTGATTTAAACAAAAAAAGAAAGCAAATTCTCAGACTACAGTGTGTTTGGTTGTGAACTGAGCTTTCTGTAAGTAGTCATAAAATACATTCTTTAAAATCACAAATGATTGCCTAAATATCTTTAAGAAATTTATCCAGATAATGATGTGGAAAAAAAAATAAATTCGGAAGTTAGTGTCCATGTGTAATTCAATCCTGCCATAAGGCAGACCATTCAGTTATATTATCTAACAAGCTTATGAATGTTCTGCTCAGCTGAATTTCAAGAGCTTTAGGAAAGTAACATAAGGAGTCTCATTGATCTTATCATATAACATGTAATGGCTGTTTGTGTTTTTTTAAAGCTGCAGTCAGCAGTTATCAAGATATATGACTGTAGCCTATAAATATTAGTGCCAGGACTTTTCAATCCGTCCAAAGGTTGATATGATTAGGATAATGTGTCATGTGTATAAAACAGAATGGCATATCTCATTATCCCTATAAATAGTTGTATATATTAATTCACACAATCTGTAAAACAAAGACCACTGATAACTGTTCTGGCAACAGCTTCAAATGGTCAGTCTGTCGGTGTTCCTATCACATATGCTTGAATTTCAGCTTGATGTGTTTTGACAACCTGACACATCAGTGACAGGTGGGTAAACCATGTGTACCCAACCCATCACAACTTAGCTTTGCAGGAGCTGATACCGGTGTCCTAATGTCCAAACCTAGGTGTCATGTTATGTAAAACAATATACATTTACAGGGTTGTACCTCAACTCACAAACATGGGGGTCCCGGGAACCCCTAATTATTAGTTTTAAGGGTCCTTGCTGGCAATACGAGGGGCCTGTGAAGTAAAGGTGTAGAGAACTGTATGTTTTGATAATTTCTCAGGGCTACAGATAAGGGGCGTACAGGCGTAATGTACGCCTCAAAATCAATTAAGTACGACATAATATAAGATTTCAAGCGTATCGTGTACGCACATAAATACCTTTGTACGTCTAACATTTAATTTCCGTGCGTATCGTGCAAATGGAAATCTATTTCGGATAAATACTTGTCAAGTTTCTTTTGCGAAACACGATTTGACACATGAGGAAACAGTAGGAATCACTTGCGTTGCCATGCAACGATATGTGTCACTATTTTTCGATTGGCTAAAAACTACACTGTTCCTATTTATATCCAGTCGGACCTGACATTTCGTGCATCACACGGTCGCTTCAGTTATTTCTCACGCGTTTTCAAATACAAATACATGGTTGGAAATAGTGATCGATGAATCGTCCAGATAAACCACATCACCAACTCGCTCACACAAAACCATGTCAGTACACCTCCACTTGCAATATGAAGTGTAAGTACACTCGCACCCCCAAAAGTTATCTGGAGCCCTCATTTCTTAAAAGTCTGGAATTGATCATTGATCATGTGGACTGGTGGATGAAATGATGCACATAACTGCTCTGAAAGAAACAACCAGACGTGTTGTGGGTACAGTGAATAATATTGTGCGTCCGCCTGACAGCAGTAAATTTATTTTCTGCATACATTCTCTGCATTTGCACGTGGCATAAAACCCTGCGTTTAGTAATTCTCCAAGCAGGGGACACCTAACAACATCAGAGGCCCAGATAAGCCGCGCGATCTGGGTAAAATACGCATAGAAAATTTCCACCACGCATTGAAAATAATTGTTATGCACTCACCACGATTTAAAATGTTAGATACGCAAAATGTTTAAAACAAATGCGCACGGAATATATTTATAAAAATCGCTCATGTGAATGAAAAGACATCGATTGCTATCAAGTTGTACTGTTAGTATAGGACTAGTGTTGTACTGTCAGTATAGGATGAGGGATTTTTATGAAATCATTTCCATGATATTTAAGTTGGTTTTGATTAGGTATGACATAAGGCAGAACATACCTGCTTAGTAAACTTACTCAATGACATAATACTTAGGTGAGTAAAATGACTGAAATACGCACATATTTGAAAGCAGTGGGTAACGGAAAATGAAATACCCACTCAACATTCATAATACCCAATCCAAAACAATACAGGGTACGGTACCCACATGAGCTAAATCTTATCTGAGCCCTACAACATGTTTCTTTTACAACATTGAATAACGAATTGGTTACTGCAGTTATCATTTTCTAAACATACAACTTAAAAGGAAGTGAAACAACGCATGATGTATTCATGAGACTATAGTTAATGTCTTGTCATGTCATGTTAATTAAATTGTTTTGAGCAGTAGACATGGTTGGTGAGTCACTATGCATGATGTTACTTCTTAAAGGCACAATGGCACACATTATACACATTGGGACTTATTATCCTTTATGACTTGCCTGAAAGTGAAATCCAAACAGAACACTTGCCATATATGGAATGTAATTGTAAACAATTGCTCTGTACATTGAAACCTGTCGCACGCGGTGTTGTTGGTGTTTGCCGAACTGGTTTGAATCATAAGATGTGCGAAGGCTATTCATAAAGAACGCACCAAGGGACATAAGTCTATGGAGTTCGCTTGAAATAACGTTTGTCCGGTAGAGGATGTGAGAGTCGATTTAATGCAATGTTGCATTAATTCATTTGAACTTTTAATTTAATATTATATTATAATCTAAATCCTAAGGGCTGACAGTTAGTATTAATGAGAGAAATGCTTTATTTTTCATTGGAATAAATTGTATGGTAGCTTCCCTAAGGGCTGACAGTTAGTATTAATGAGAGAAATTTTGCTTTATTTATTTTAGATTCTTAGACTACCCACCAGTATCTCAAGTAGTCTGGTGAAACCAAAAGCAGTCAAGATGTGTGATATAGAAATGCTGTATATATGTTGAGTGTACATTTCAACATGTTTAATGAGATATGTCCATAAATATGATAAGTGCTGCTTATTATGCAAGTGTTTGTGTAAAGAAGACAGATTTCAGCTTGTGTTTCAGAAGACATATCGAAGGAGAAAATGCCCTAAAAACATAATAAAACATTTCCTAACACTTCCAGGTCAGAAATTGATCCAAATGATTTGCTCAAGAAGAGGATTTCACATAAGGATAGAATTATTTTTCAAACCTAAACAAGAAAGTATAACCCACAAGATCACAAGAACAGTTGTCCAAAGCACCAGTTGATTGAGGACTCAACTTGAAGATTGCAATGAATTGATTGACATTTCAATCATGAAACATACATCTATATGAAGCAATGTCCTGTAAACACATATGACCTCAGCAGTATACATATTGACCTGTAAACACTATCTGAAGCCAGGAGTAGACATATTGACCTGTAAGCATTATCCGATGCCAGCAGTATACATATTGACCTGTAAACATTATCCGATGACAGCAGTATACATATTGACCTGTAAGCATTATCTGATGCCAGCAGTATACATATTGACCTGTAAGCATTATCCGATGACAGCAGTATACATATTGACCTGTAAGCATTATCCGATGACAGCAGTATACATATTGACCTGTACGCATTATCTGAAGCCAGGAGTATACACATTGACCTGTAAGCATTATCCGAAGCCAGCAGTATACATATTGACCTGTAAGCATTATCTGATGACAGCAGTATACATATTGACCTGTAAGCATTATCTGATGACAGCAGTATACATATTGACCTGTAAGCATTATCCGATGACAGCAGTATACATATTGACCTGTAAGCATTATCTGATGACAGCAGTATACATATTGACCTGTAAGCATTATCCGATGACAGCAGTATACATATTGGATTATCTGATGACAGTAGTATACAGCATTATCCGATGACAGCAGTATACATTATTGACCTGTAAGCATTATCCTGATGACAGAGTATACATATTGACCTGCAAACATTATCTGTATGCCAGCAGTATACATATTGACCTGTAAGCATTATCTGATGACAGCAGTATACATATTGACCTGTAAGCATTATCCGATAAGCAGTATACATATTGACCTGTAAGCATTATCTGATGACAGCAGTATACATATTGACCTGTAAGCATTATCTGATGACAGCAGTATACATATTGACCTTGATGACATTGAGTATACATTATCCGATTGACCTGTAAACATTATCTGATGCCAGCAGTATACATATTGACCTGTAAGCATTATCTGATGACAGCAGAATACATATTGACCTGTAAGCATTATCCGATGACAGCAGACAGCAGTACATATTGACCTGTAAACATTATCTGATGCCAGCAGTATACATATTGACCTGTAAGCATTATCCGATGACAGCAGTATACATATTGACCTGTAAGCATTATCCAATGACAGTAGTACACATATTGACCTGTCTTATGCCACGCGAGATCACAATATGCCAACACACAGGCCTTACACCATTATGATGCCAACATACAGGCCTTTAAACCAATGTGATCAGCAGTATAATATGCCAACATACATGGCCTTACATTGAATGTAATCACAATATGACCAACATACATTGGCCTTTAGCACCAATATGCCAACATACTGGCCTTACACCAATGTAATCACATGACCTGTCTTATGCCACGTGATCACAATATGCCAACATACAGGCCTTACACCAATGTGATCACAATATGCCAACATACAGGCCTTACACCAATGTGATCACAATATGCCAACATACAGGCCTTACACCAATGTGATCACAATATGCCAACATACAGGCCTTACACCAATGTGATCACAATATGCCAACACACAGGCCTTACACCAATGTGATCACAATATGCCAACATACAGGCCTTACACCAATATGCCAACACACAGGCCTTACACAAATGTGATCACAATATGCCAACATACAGGCCTTACACCAATGTGATAAAACCAATATGCCAACATACAGGCCTTAATGTGATCACAATATGCCAACATACAGGCCTTACACCAATGTGATCACAATATGCCAACATACAGGCCTTACACCAATGTGATCACAATATGCCAACATACAGGCCTTACACCAATGTGATCACAATATGCCAACATACAGGCCTTACACCAATATGCCAACACACAGGCCTTACACAAATGTGATCACAATATGCCAACATACAGGCCTTACACCAATGTGATCATAATATGTAAGCATACAGGCTTTACACAAGGTGAGTGGGTGAGATTAGTTTTACGCCGCTTTTAGCAATATCCCAACAATATCACAGCCGGGGACACTAGAAATGGGCCTCACACATTGTACCCATATGGGGAATCAAACCCAGGACGAGTGAAAACTATAACCACAGGGCTACCCCACCGCCCCTCTACACAAATGTGATCATAAGCAGTAGTGCTGGAGCAATTAATCGGTTAATCGTTCGATCTAAGTCAAAATAAACGATTGTCGATTACAAATAAACTGCAGATCAATAATCAGAAATAATCATTATGTGGATGCACATACATTAAAACGTTTTATTCTACCTTGTCATGTATTCTTATACTGAACACTCTAGTTTGTCATTGCTTGTTTATCTCTTAAACGGAAGCTGTGTACTACACAAGTGCGCATGCCTCCCCTGTCAGCCAATGGCAATGCTAGATATATTTAGATTGGGGTGTCCTATTTCGTCATTGAAATACTACAAGTTGTAAAGTGGTTTATAGAAATTATTTAATATTCATGAGCAAACTCTGCAAAACTCATTCGTCCAATCATGCAACGAAAGTCACAATATGACCCAGATGTTACAAGTTAGCTACTTTCCAATTGTTTGAAAGAGGGAATTCCTTGAGTTGCATTTGCATACAAACACGTGACTTTCACAAGGCGGGTAAAATAGAGCTATTTTCAGTTTCATGAATTCTCTTAAACTTTTGATACAGTGGTTGATCATAACACTTCCCAGAATTTTGTGTTTCAACCTTAAGGAAATGTCTTTGTTCACCCTTCAACATAAACAAAAAGTTTTTTAAAAAATGGCATGCCATGAATCTAAATCTACCAGTGAGGTCACATGACTAGTAGCATGATCTTGTATGGTGGGAGGTCAACTAAGCAGACGAAACATTAATGGCATCTTTGGAGTAAAGATTTAGGATTTTTGTGCATTTGATTATGAGGTAGATATTGCATTAAGGATCCCTGAGATAAAATTAATGAGTTGTGGGTTTTTTATACTGTTGCCTACGCATGGAAACTTGATTCGTAGCATAACGAAAGCGGGGATCGCCTTGTTGTCATTTGGGATGCTTCTCATGGATTTTCACACATTTTCGCGCTATAAATGGGAATTGTAATGGCTGATCAAAAACATATAACGGTCGGAAACGTAAGACGATAGGATACTTGATGATCCAAAGACGCTGCAAATGTAAGTAACTTGCTAGCGTTAACAATTGACACGTGCTGACAACATGCCGGAAGTTAGTTCGCTAACGTAGGTATTTGACTATGAAATGACCGTCCAAATGATTATAATCGATCGATTATCGATTTGACAAAATGTAACGATAACCAGCTCTAATCAGCAGCCAACATAACATGACTGAGTCCGTCGTCACCTGGCACACGATTCAAGAAAGTGATATTCTGCAAGAATCTGCCAACATTGTTAATAAAACATCTCTGGGAATGATCCGATGTTTTTGCCAACAACAAATGTCAGCACAAATACCTTAATGGGAACAAAATCACTCCCAGTTAATGTTAACATAGTCACAACTTATCACATGACTTGATTACAACTAATAACATTATAGATTTGACTACATTGACCTACTTCTGGTGATTACTATAGCTCTGAAATTATGAAAAATTGAAACATAAAAAGATAACAGTTTTGAACACATTTTCCCAAATATGCCAATAAAACATGCAAAGTTTAGAACCCTATATTAGCATAACAAAACTCAAATGAACAATTACGTGAGAGGTAAAAATGAAAGTGTCAGAATGAACTATTTCTCTTGGGTATCTTAAACCTTTGGAAACAGTAACACATAGGCGACTCACCTGCTTTATAAATGCATTTACATTGTTGATGACTTCCGCTAGTTCTTCTTTGTGCTCACAGGTATCGTTAGAGTTTGCCGTATCATGATTGGTTGGTTTTCTGTCGGCCTCGGACGTGCTGTCAGCCATCCCCTGTCACATGACTTGGACAAACCATGGGGAAGTACTGGTGTGGGCATTTACCTACAAACAAACATCACAACAATAACCTAAAACCTAGTCATACTGCTAAGAGTAAAATCTATCCAAGGTTTAACATGAAATGTGCATCCAGTTCACACAAGTGTACAGAAAAAATGAAGAAAACATTTATCTTGAGTTTCTTAGGAGTCAAAGTAATACTCACTTGACCAAATTCTCTATTAGAAATTTGAAGACCCTGTCATAAACATAATTATAACATCATACAGTATACTACTCTATTTCATTACATACTCGGACCTTCATATTTTCTGTAAGGACCCTAATAATGAGTAAACGGATGTCCTCAAAACCCTTAGTTTTATTAGTATTAGGCAAAATAAAACTCTGTATATTATAGCAACAAATAAAGTGTTTTAGTCGTCTGGAATATGTAATGGATAAATAATCAGAATCTGTGGATTCCAGAAATTAAATTCTATTTCTGGAATCAAAAGATTCTAGTATTTTATCTGCCATAACCACCCTGTAGCATGTATAGATGATATGTACTACTCATCTTTTGATAAGGATAATTAGATTTGCCAATTTATTCAAATATACTTGTCATTCATGAGAATCAGTTTTATTTATCATGGGATAAAACAATATCCCTATCAAAAGAGTAGTACATAATTTCTCTGTGGTATTGTATAATGTCCAAGAAATGTGTCTCTTTTACTTCTTCGAGCTGTATTCAGAATGGCCAGTGAATTCCTGATTCAGAATCAGCCACATCAACAATAGAGTGACATCATAATAACTGCTTAAACACATGATACTGACTGATATTTAAAATACACAAAGAGATTTATGTTCTAATAATAGACATCAGTCAGTGCAGATAAAGAAAGACTTTGGTCATTTTGCATTCACTGGGAAAGTTGTATCGACCTTTGCCGTCTCAACAATTTTTCTCATGAGCAAAATAACATGGTGAATCTGGAAGAAGCAAGAGGGAAGTGGAGCTTGGAGTAATCAGAAAAACACATGTTCAATACCAACTGTTACACAGATAAAGGGACTCCTTATAATCCAATTTGGAATCTATGGAAATTATGGTGACTTAAAAGTCGAGTGATGTCTTGTACTTCTTTGAATGCAAGTCCCTGTCAGGGCCATACACAAAACCCATCAGAAACACAAGCCAATACATTCCACAATGTGACCACGTATGATACAGCAAATCAATATTTAATGAAGTAACCAACTTATTTGGGCAAGTTTGAAAATTCCTTGGTATATGAGGGAGTTTGGTGTATCCTGTGTCATAATTGCCTTTCATAAGGGCCAGGGAGCCATTCCATAAAATGATTTTAGTGTAAAGACAGTTGTAATGGGGGCGGTGGGGTAGCCTGGTGGTTAAAGTGTTCGCTCATCACACCGAAGACCACAGTTCAATTCCCCACATGGGAACAATGTGTGAAGCCCATTTCAGGTGTCATCCACCGTGATGTTGCTGAAACATTGCTAAAAGCAGCAATACTCACTCACTTTTTGTAAGTCAATGTTTAAGCATGGGGCACTAAGATCACTTGTGCAATGTTGTCCCAACCCTGTTTCACAAAGCAATCTTAGGGTAAAGGTGATATTGATGCTTAGTGAACGTCAGAATCTCATTTTATGAAATCAGAAACAGCCAAATGATATCATAAAGAGCATCACAAACTATCATTTCAAACCTATATTTAACATGGGTGAGTGAGTGAGTTTAGTTTTAAGCACTCTTAGCAATATTCCAGCAATATCATGGCGGGACTGACTGAGTTTAGTTTTACGCCGCTTTTAGCAATATTCCAGCAATATCACGGCAGGGGAGACCAGAAATGGGCTTCACACATTGTGCCCATGTGGGGAATCGAACCCGGGTCTTCGGCGTGACGAGCCAACGCTTTAACCATTAGGCTACCCCGCCGCCCCATCATGGCGGGAGACACAAGAGATGGGCTTCACACATTGTACCCATATGGGAAATCGAACCCTGGTCTTCAGTGTGATGAGTGAACGCTTTAACCACTAGGCTACACCACCATCTCATATTTATGATGAACTTCATACAAAATAGCATGGAACTCACATAACAGACACAAATGTTACAACCACAAGTCGCACTACTCATTCTCTAAATAAACAAACTGTGTCTATCACACACTGAACTAATGAAGGTTGTAACATATCTAATAAGACATTTAATCCTTATCATTATCAAATGTTGTGTAGCATGAGTTGTATTCAATGCCTCTGGTTACAGTGATACCAACACAGTAGTTGTTTGTCATTTAACACTCCACTCATCAGTATAAAAGCATTATTGCCAAGTCTGACCGCTAATCATTAAATCACCTCAAATGACTGGCAAAGATTGCTGAGGACAATTCCAAACCAAAGTCCTCACAGGTCTGAAGTTGTAAATGTGTATGAAGCACAGATAAGTTTGTAAATGTCAGTAAGCACAATTTGTCACATGCACTGCAAGAGCTACAGGACACCAACCTGTGCTGCATTGTCACCAGCTGTCAATCACACATATTAATTTGCTGCTCACAACATCAAGTCAATAACTTATTTCAACATGAATCATACACATAGCATTCTAATTCCATGCAGAAGAGGTCCAGATAAGCTGCGTATCCGGGTAAAATACGCATAGAAAATTTCCAATTACGCATTTAAAAATAATTGTTGCGTACCAATTACGCATTTAAAATGTTAGATACGCAAAAAGTTTAAAACAAATGCGTATGGAATATATTTATAAAAATCGCTTGCATAATAAAAAAGACATCGATTGCTATCAAGTTGTACTGTTAGTATAGTACAAGTGTTGTACTGTCATTATTGGATAAGTGATTTTTTTATGAAATCATTTCCATTATATTTAAGGCGGTTTTGAGTAGGTATGATATAAGGCAGGACATACCTGCTTAGTAAACTTACTCAATGACATAATACTTAGGTGAGTAAAATGACTGAAATACATAAATATTTGAAAGCAGTGGGTAACTGAAAATGAAATACCCACTCAACATTCATAATACCCACTCCAAAAAATTACAGTGGGTACAGTACCCACATGAGCTAAATCTTATCTGGAACTCTGATGCAGTATCGTTTTCAAATACAAAATGGATTGATGTTTGTTCCTATTTATATGTGATGCTCTTTAACTGAAGTCAAGTATTTGTGATGACCTAGAAATTTCCCATCAATGAGTGACTGAGTGCTGGAGCAGGTATTGTTTTATGCCCCTTCATATACATATTCAAGCAATATACCAGGCAGGTACTCATTCTGGATTACACTGATACAGACATATTTCTTTAACATTTGACCCTTATTTCAGCTGTATTTTTAAATCATTCAGGGAATGGGATTAGATTTTAAGCCATGTCAGCATGTTATACATTGATCTTCTCCAAAAAGCTGTTGACAAAGGAATGTAACTAACTTGTGACATAGATTTGCTCTTAAAACTAGCTTGAAAAGAATACTGAGATCAGACTGTTAAAAGACACAATGTATAACCCAGTTTATAGATTGCCAGCTACTAAAGTACCTTTGCTACAGCATGGTACCCCAACAATATTCACACCATCCTACTAGCAGCTGGTGATAGTTTGCATGCCAAGCAGAAAATTAATATGAACAAGTATTCCATGATTAAACAGAGTTAGACATATTCATTCTTTGAATGACATGGTCGGCCAATACATTTTCACAGAGAAATCTATGATTTATAATTAGGTAGAACATCTGTTTGCTTTGACTTTACATTACAGCCTCTACAAGAGTGTTAAAGATAGGGGGTTATCAGTCACATTCAATGCCATAACATCATGCAACAAGGTTACAAAGCAGGGGCCTCACATTTTAAAAAATGATGTGTCAGGCTGTGATTCAAACCATTGCAACCAAGATTTACATACAGCTATCATATTAAACAGATCAATTAGAAGAAAAAAACCCACAAGACCCCAACCACAAACAAGACTACTTCATTCTGAATATGAAATTGACACACATTCAAAACCATTGCAAGATACACATATATCGATATGATAACTAACATCATGAACATTAATGACATGACTGATCACGCTTAGATATCACCTGACAAATGGTATCTCTTTAAGCAGGATTAGGGATCTATTCAACTTGATTAAATGTAAAAAGAACGATGTAATCTCAATCCAATTCTTTCTGCGTTAGTTGCAATGACTTATAGAAGCAAGACTGTAATAGTGTATGTATCTAATATCAAAGGATAAGATTCTTTCAACATGTGCTTTTATAAACTATTTTAATAAATAACACAGTTACGAACCTATTATTGCTCTTTTTATACATTGCCATAACAGTGAAAATATCTTACAACTGCCTTTGAAAGAAAAAACAATCTTAAATGTGTTCTCAATACTTAATACACATGTGATTTTCAAGGAAAGACTAAATTGACAGTTGTTAACAAAGGCATTTTGACAGTCATACAACTATCACACAGAAATGATATTTGGAATAAGACACGTTGTTAGAACATCCTCATTGTAATTTCTGAGAAAGGAAGGAAGGGTACTTGGTCTTGTAAACATAAACAAGCAGGGTTAACAACATAATTTGAGAAGTTTCGAGCTCCCAGCAAGCTGCAAAGTAATCTGCGAGCCATTCTGTTGCGTACCTACTTGTTGTTATGCTTTTGACATTGTTTATGATTGCAGTCAGTTCTTGATTACGTTTCCCGGAATGAGGTATCCTGGTCTAAATTTGATGTTACAATCACCTGTTTAGACTTCCTGCGATGTCACAATGATGTCATGTTGTATCCGGCATGTTTTCCTAAAGACTACTTACAAGTGAAATTCGTTGTCAGTTGAACAGTATTTTTGTCTCTGATTGCACAATCAACACATGTCTGTTTGTGCTAAATATTAGTCGTGCCATATCTTGTCTGACTTGTATGTGTAGTTTCCGATTATGACACTATCTATTAGAGCAAATTCAGTTAATTCATCCGGAGACCATATGGGTCGCCCATATACCTAAAAGTAGCAAGATTATTACTTAGTTCGTACAGTGAAACTTTTGCTCGGACAAACATTACAGTTGTTGAAACAAACGTGATGTTGGGTCTACGGTACATAATTTTAAGAGGTGTAAAGAATGGGCTGAACCCATTCTGTATGAAGTCTCTTAGTACTTCAGGAAGACCGATAGGAACAGCCATGTGGTATTGATGGATGTAATTATTTTGCATGAATAGTCCGCCCAAAAGTCTGAATCTTTAAAGGGTGCGGAGATAACTTTCGAAGGGATGACATTTAGGGCTGGGACGGGTACTCGGGTCCTCGAATCCGGGTCGGGTACAGCTGGAATCGAGTCCTATTTCTAGGAATCGAGTACCCGGAAAGTGAGAGAACTCTGTGATGACAAGGGCAGATAATAACTTGTCTTTTTTATTTAAACATCATTGGTATTGTCCGTTTAATCGAGGTTATTATTAACGACTGTAATTTATCTGCGAATGTGCAGTGAGTAGTCAAGTTACAGTAACAGTAGGAACGAAAAGTTTATTTTAACGAGCAATGTAAGTAATGGTGTTACTCTTTATATTGGTTAAACAGACGTAAATTATATAGCTTGAGATCATTTTAATGTCTTATTGACACCCTTATAAGTTTTCTATAATTGAATATTCAGAAAGTTGACAGAAAGCGCTGTATTCCTTACATTTCCGGGTACTCGATTCCGATTCGGGTTCGTACATGCGGGTACTCGATTCCATTTTTTCCTACCCGTCCCAGCCCTAATGACATTCCGTTTGTGTCTAAATAGAACTGAGGGAATGTGCTCAAATGAGGATGTTCGCCTTCCACCACATATGTTTATTAGTCGCGTTGATAGTACTACTGGTGAAATGAAAACTCGCTTGAGGAACGTGAACATACGAGACAAGAAGGAGGCCATTGACGAAGCAGATTATCGTGTCATTTTGCTTTATTTGTCTTCTTGGTCATTGTAGAACATTCCCACATATTTAAATTGTGTCAAACATTGTAATAACTTTCATAGATAACCAAGAAGGGATACTTTACGTTTAAAATTATTTCAGTACAACCATGTCTTGAAATTGAAACGGTTGCGTTGCCGAACCCATCCGGACCTCAATTTGTGGTGAAAATAAGGACGGAAAAACAGTTGGAACTCAGTTTGTATTTGTACTTAATGTATTAAGTTGCTTATGTCAAAATAGAGTACATTATGTGTATGTTTGATGCTAAATTTGCGACAAGAGCCAGACGCTGAGGAAGAGCTTGTGAACGGGACACAGACAAAATGGCGCACATGTGTTGAACAATGAACTTACTCCTGGTCGTGAAATTCCACCAGTTTGTTTTCTTCATGTTTGTTTGAATTGGTGAGGAGTTGCAAAGATGTCAACAGTACACTACAAGTTCAAGAGTAGTCTTGAATACCAGTCTGTAACCTTTGATGGCATCCACATATCACTTGGGGACCTGAAAAAGGGAATCAGCCATCAGAAAAGATTGAAACCTGGAGAGTATAACTTAGTGATCACCAATGCCCAAACGAGAGAAGGTAAATCCAAATTATGTTATTCTATTCTATTATGAGTTTAGATGAGTATTGTATTTCACCACTTGGGGCGAAATGATTAATGTAAAATTGTCGTAAATTTATATTAAAATAGCCCAGCTGATTATGGATGTTGCATTTTTATCAAGTTAAATAGAGGAGTTCAGACTTTTTTCTATTTTTATTTTAAACAATTGTCTTTGTTGCATATCATGAGTTACTTTGTGTCGTTATCGGCTGCTTTTTACAAACATTGAAAGTACAGTTGCTTCACATCAAAAAGCAGACATGTCGAAGTAGATGTTTCAATAAGTGAATTACCTCAAATTCTTGATTTGGAAGTTAGTTTTAAGTTGTTGTTTTTGTTTTGACAACTTGCTATGTCTCCATCAAAATTATTTTAAACGTTGGAAAGAGTTGAAGGGCATATTGCAACACATGTTACATTTGGGATTACACTTTCTCAGTAAAAGGAGGATTCAGTATTCTAGTTGGATCCCATGCAGGATTCGATCTCCAATTAATGGAAACCATGTGAGGGCCAAAGTGGCCTCAAGTAAATAAGGGCCAAGGATGTCAGAAAACACTGAAGATTAAAAGAAATTCATTACATGTTGTTGCAGTGGTTCTGTCTTAAAATTGATGTGGAGATTTATTGGGTGGTAGTCAAGATGGCCGAAGGAAAGTCAAAAGGGCCAAAGGAAAGTCAAAAAGGCCAACAGAAAGTCAGAAGGGCCATAGACTTAAGTCAAAAGGGCCAAACTTTTAGAAAACACTAAGATTAAAAGAAATTCATTACATGTTGTTGCAGTAGTTCTAATCCCATTTTAGAAAATACTAAGATTAAAAGAAATTCATTACATGCTGTTGCAGTAGTTCTCATCCTAAACATCCTAAATACATCAGAGTGCCCAATGTTGTTTATTTAAAAAATCTCAAGAGTGGTGAAGTGTTTACTTTATACCATACAACTGTTTGTGTAATGATTACAAGTAGTCAGTAATCTAAATAAGATTAACAATAGTGATTAAGTGTTTATTTTGTGAGTATAGTCAACCATACAACTGTTTCTGTAATGGTTACAGGAGGTTTACACAGAGTCATGGGTGTCAGACACTAGTCAGTAATCTAGTAAATAAGATTAATGTTTTAATTTATTGTGAGGTTTAAACAGAATCATGGCAGTGGAATGTGTATGATGATGTGTCTAGTGACGATGTCTGTGGTGAACTCTAATGATGAGTGAATTGTGAACATTTGAACCACCATTTGAACCACTCAACTGTCNTTTGGTAGTTTGGGTGTATGATGATCACACACTATTTCTTCACCAAACTTGACACATAAAATTATTACTTTTGTTACTATTTACATATTGATACAAGTATAAATAATAATAAATATTAATATAATAAAACATAAAATATATATTAGTTTGTATGTTCTTTTTTTACCTATGGCCCTTTTGACTTTCCTTTGGACTTTTTCAATTTTGACCATTTTGTCCTTTGGCCCTTTTGACCTGTTCCCAGATTTATTTAAATGGCCAAAATCTCATTATTCACCAAGATGTGTTTTTCTTCAGTTTACAAGAATGATGATGAACTCATACCAAAGAACTCATCAGTGATAGTGTCCAGGATTCCTGTGGCTGCCACTACAACCACTAACAGTACCAGTAAAGCATGGTAAGTTCACAGCTTTTATGTGTTTCGGTTTCATGTGCTGGAAGATCAATATAAAAGGATAGGAACCTTGACTGGCATTTAGAAGTTATAAAGATTTTGTATCAGGTTCTGTTTGTTAGTCATTTGCTGCTGGCCAAGATCAGGGTGGGTCACTGTTGAAGCGTAAGCCATGGGATCCATTGTTTGAAATCAGTATCCATGTGTCATGTGGAGGCCAACATATTCAAATCAGGGCTCCAGATAAGGGCCATATCGTTGTATGTAAGAATGTAAAATATGCATGATATGGTAGGAAATAATTTAGAAAACGTAGCACATATGCACCACAGCTATGGTGTACTGACATATTTATCTGAAAAAGTATTGTTTTATTGTTTATTGGCCTGTTTACACAGGAGTAGCAATGTTGTAGTGCATATATGAAACGAAACACAAGATTACTGATAAGCCATTACATTCCATTCTGTACTCAAAATCTAGTACTCCTATATTGAAAAAATAAGGAGTACATACTCCTGATGTTGAAAAGTTATCTGGAGCCCTGCAAATGTTATGGGTTCTTTTGGCTGGCTTTGAAGTTATGTCAATTTATTTGTCACAGTAAACTGCATTTTCCTTTTTTAAATGAGGACCTGCAGCTTTCAAAGCCTTGACTGCAGCATGGCATATCTTTCTGATTTCTGATTTCAAACATTGATAAGGGCAATGTTTCTGTGTATTTATCATCTGCACTTTCTGTTTATAAACTCCTATTTAACATTGACACTGAAGGGAGTTATTTCAAAATGTTTAGTTGTTTGAATGTTCTCTGTGGGCTCATTTGTTTAGATCTATTAAAAAAAGTTGTTTTTCTTATATTTTTCATATTTTCTCTTCTTTCTCTTCTTTCTAAGAATATTACTGGACCATGGTCATTTACCAGTGATGTCAGAAAAGTAAATATTACTATACACAGACACCAGGCAATGGAAATATTAATTCTCTGAAAAGTGCTAGGTTCTCTTTATTTTGTCTAAATTGATGCTATTTTTATTTCAGGGAGCAGTTCAAGCAGGATTGTGCCAAAGCAGTATGTGTCTTTACAATTTTGTATGGTTAACACTAATCATAGAATTATTTAAAAAAAAAATTAATCATCAAAATCGTTTAATCTTTAAACACACACTGGTTTGATTTCAGAATTCCATAACCATTAAACATACGTGTCTGTCTTGTTTGACATGCATAGATTTGTATATATCGTATCCAAGAATATGTCTGCCAAACATTGTTGGTTTGTCTTTCATGATGAATATAATTATTGCATTTACCTTTGCAGTTAATTTACACTGCTTCTGTGATATGAAACTTTTACACATTCTTTTGATATTGTATTTTGTATCATTTTTTACCACTGTTAAAGTGCTCCTTTAGAGCCATGTTGATGAACTGTTCTGTTACATTATCATGTTTACAAAGTTATGAACATTTTCAGAAATAAATTGTTTTGTGCTAATTTTGTTTTTATTATTGCTGAGTGTCATCGATAAACATGCAGACACATTGGACCCCATTAATAACCTAGTTGTTTATCTTGGTCAACTTGAGGCAGTTTCTGCATAGTTAATAAACAAATTCATCCTCAATCACAAGCATGATTAGATTTATGTGAGCAGGTTATGGCAAAGAAGTAGTAAATAATCATTATAGGAGTCTATTAATAGTCATAAGATCCTTTCTCTGAAGTGTGAGCAAGCACCAAACGTATTTCTTATTCTGAGGTTCTAAAGGGCAAATGTTATTTGGAGAAGTTATTGAGCCAAAGAAGCTTTATTCCCATGTTTTGCAAATGTAGCTTACTTCAGACAGGTTTTGTCATCTTTCTTTCTAGAGCCCTAATCAAATGTACTGCATTCAGCTGAACTTATCTGACAGTAACCCATGTGTTCAAATACCAATTTACTTATATCACATTAGGATTAGTTAGAATGATAGGATTAAAAAATATCAGACAGTTCGTGAAATCAGTTTCAGAATGTATTCTGTATCATTACAAGCACACATGTATTTGGAAAAGAAGTATTTCTGTCATGGTACCAATCACATTGACCGATCATTTACTCTGCAACCACTGATGCTCTCATTTTTTAGAACTAAGGACATCATAAAGGTCATGTCAGATTAACCCTGATTTATATTTTATTAACCACCTTATTCAAAATTTTCATTTTAAACAAAATGGAGCCCACAGAGCACACAAATATGCCTTTTAGTGTGGTTGATGCCACAGCTCCATGACAGTGAGTATAGAATATTAAAGTAATGACACATTCATTGGATACATTTGGGAAAATGTTTTCTTACTGTTTCGAGACACAAAAGTCAGATACACCAGCTGGTGTGCCTTTCTCAACTGCACTGAGAATTAAAAAACCTTGATGCTGACCAGAAAGTTAAACTGTCTTGGTGTCCGAAAATATTCATGCTGAATGGTGTTAAATTACAGTAGAAGATCTGATTTTGATGAGATTGTTGTGATGCCAGATCCAGCATGAAAGTCCAAAACGTATTTCAGAGACAAACCTCAAGGACTTGGGGAAACCCCTAAATTTTGAAACAACCCCCACCCACCCCCACCAAATCCTCTGGATATCAATGCATAATTATTGTAGAAAGGGTTTTAGTCCGGATCAGTCAACCCCATGTGGTGAGATGTTAATTTGAAATAGATCGTGGGAAAAATAAGCTTAGTTTCTGTGGGGGAAATAGCTTTAGTACAGGATTATATTTTCTAGATTCTATAATGATGGTTAATTTGAGCTCACCCAGGCATTTAGGGATCATGGCCATCATCTTCTTTGAGGACAATAAGTTTCCTGTATTCTGTCCTTTTTAAATAGAAAATAAGGTGTTGTTTAAAGTCCATGCAGCTGCACAATAAGTATGTTGAGTAGTTATTGTACTGAAGAACTAAAAATACAGAGAGAAGCCGAGAATGACTCGATAACGTCATATGAGTAGTACCTTCAACATGTTCAAGAGTGAATAAGACATCGGTGCTTACATACTCTATTATGTCAAATAACTAGGATACAGGTGTATTGACATGTTTTCAATCGTATTCTGCCATAAATAATAAACCACACTCAAGTGCACATTCACATGTCATAGGTTTTCAACCTATGGAGTCGTGATAAGTCTGTCTCAATCTGTCCCATGAATACTTGGTAATACGATGTAGATCTCTTCTCTTTGGAGTGCATGAGTAGCCCAGTGGACAATTTGCTGTGCAGAGTGGCACTGTAGTGCATTTAGGATCTGCTGATCATGGATTGATTCCAAGCTTCAACCTGCCTATGGTGCTTGATTGTTGGCACCTTATTTGTGTCAATGATGATTTCATTGTATGCTTCACTTGAACGTTATGCTTACACAAGCCACTGAAATACAGTTCAAAGTGGAATCAAGCCACTTTCACTCGCTCATATCTTTGAAGTGAAGTGTTTGTGGAAATATCCCTAGGTATCCACTTTTGAGATTGCTGTGATGGGAGTAGAACCAAACCAGTTTAACCCTGACAACATTGGTTGCAAATATTGAAACAAAATATTTCTCTTATTTTGGACGCTTACAGTGATGGACAATTGTAAAATTTCAGTAGAATCCAAAATATTTCAAGATAAATGTACCGATAGTTTGCAGACAGATTATTTTGCATGAATCATTTTGATGATGTGCCAGTGCGCACTATACTCTAATTCTTATAACTGCCGAATCCGTATAATCAGTATATTGATCTTGCTTCAAAATCTTTTCAGCTTTAGTTCGTTTTTTGTATGGATCCATAAAAGTGCTGTTAATATAATTGAAGGTTGATGGAATACATTTGTGTACATAGGGAAATACAAAATATGTCAGTTACATATTATTTCATATGTTAACAATCACTGTACTGAATTCTTTTATTTGTTGAATCCATTACACAAGTTACAGATATGGTTTGTTTTTTATCACTCATATTTTATTAGTGGTCTGACTTTGTAAATTGCATTGACATTTTTTTTTTCCTATCCTGTATGAATACGTATGTAATCAGGGCAATTTTTTTAAAGGAAGTCTTTACCACCTGTGTTGTAGGAACGTAATGTGGTGTTTTTAAAAAAGGGTTTACCAATGATTGCTTTGATTTTCTGCCATGACAAAAATATACACGTACTCTTGCATTAACCATAACTATTCACCAAACCTTAGATGTATGGAGCCCAATAGTCCTATAGGCTTTGTTTCTTGGTAATGTTTACAACAAAACACTGACTTTCCTCTTTTTGAATTTAAAGATTTTACTAGAAAAAAAAAAAAATTAGCGTAGGGCACTTCATTTGGCAAATAGCATTTGTTCGTCTGTTGAACACTTGGTTCAGGCAGTGAAAAACATTTGCTGCCTTTTAATTGTCATTGTTGGCAGAGAAACATCTTCAGGATTGAGAAAATGTTATCATTTACCACATATCGCTTGGTCTCGCCAATAATAACAGTAGGTAGATCCTCTGCTGCCATTGGTTTGAATTGAATTTTGCAAAGCATCCTTATGTTGATCTCATGAAGTTAATGGTTATTCGGACTGGCAGTGGAGTGCAGACTCAACCTGAGGCCCTGGTTATGAATCATTGTTGATTGTGACAAGTATATGAAATATTGACCTAGATCAGTAGATGACAGGAGATATGCCATCACCAACATGTTTTTTGTTTTTTTTGTCATCGATTCCATAGTAATTTTACTACACTTGGAAAAATATGTTGCCAAATATTGTTTACAGTATTTGTGCCTAATGTCTCATATTCTGCTGTGATATTGAATGTGAGAATATGTTGTCAAGGGAAGGTTATCAACACCATTGTTATTTTGCTTGCTTATTTACAAAACTTAATGCTTTGTCAGGGACAGCTTCCTTTGTGAGTTTTATTTTTTCTGATATTGAAATACTTGTGAGTCAAATTATATCAATGAAGAACTGATTCTGAAGCTCATTAATGTTTGGTCGACAGAGTACTTGTCTCTGTAAACTGTTAAGGTTAAGAAATTCAAGTTGATGGTTTCATTCATTGCCACCAATAATGGAAAACTTTGTCTTATTGTACCAGTGATCTATATAAAATATATATAGTTATTTTCATCTCAATATACATGATGTATATGCAAGTTATTTCAGTAGAACAGAGGTTTATTAAATGTTTGTTTAGCTCACATTGTGTGCCTCTTTTTTTCTGTCTGGTATTGTTCACCCGGTTTAAGATAATAAAAAAGACTAGTCATTATGGAATCTGATAAACTAATGAATGTCCTTTACAGCTTTTTCTGGGGTGCTATTTGCATTATATTTGTAGTTAATGTACTTTTAGACAGCATGTGAAACATTTTCTTTCATCACTACTTCAGTAATTTTGTAATGGTCTTTTCTTTTCAATATGAGGTCACATAGACTTGTAATGTAATCCAAAAAATGCACATACATGCCATTATTAGGCCTTGTTTTCAATCGTCTCATCTGGTGTTGTGTTATCTGAACTATTGTTATATCTAGGGGGAAAAATATCAAACATATATAAATGAGAAAAACAAACAAACATGTCAAAGCAAATGTTACTGTAAGTCTTAATAGTTCCACCATGTAGTGTTGTGAGATGGATAAAGTTGCTGCAATCATGACTGTTACTGTTGATGCTACTAACGCAATCCGGTGGTCGTGCTAGCTGACTTAACTAATATTTGTCATTTACCCAATATGTAGATGGATGCTCATAATGTCAGTCACTAGATTGTCTGGTGGAGTCTCCATTATTTACAGACCACTGTCATATAGCTGGAATATTGCTGAGTGCCATTTAACAATAAACAGTGAATTTTAGTTTCGACATGGGGCAGGTGCTCCTGTAACCTTGATACAATGACTTGTGCATTATGCTTGGTTGCATTATTTGTATTAAAGAAAATGCCTGTTAGCCTGTTACCCCAGTAAGTGTATGAACATACTTGTATTAATACTTGGGTTGCTTCACTTTCTCACCACAATCACAATCTTGTCATCAATTGTGTATTGTTTCCATCGTACAACATTAGTATGTCATGCATTCAGTGTTCATTATCATTCATTTTGTGAAACAAAAACATGATTTTCATGGAAGGGTTCTTTATAATTATTCAATCAACAGATCCATCGTATTTATTTGTCTGTAGTCCTCTTCATTTAGTGTGTTTGTGACATACATGTTCTATTTGCATTGTCATAAATATGTTTTGCATTGTATTTACATTTACTGTGTGGGCAGCCATGGATATCTCATGAGATGCGCATCTGGGGATTCTAGGTTAAAATTGATCCCTTGCCACCTTTGCTGGTTGTAAAAGGCGACCTTAATGATTGGTGGCTTGGTTGATTGAGTTGTCAACTTACAATGATCGTAGATTACGATGTCATTTACTGGATTGTCAGATCCAAACAAAAACAATTTACTGTATGCCATCATATAGCTGGAATATTGCTGAGCATGGCATTGAACAACCAACAAACCTGTAGCATTCTTCATATTATTTGTATCACTTGCTTAGTTTCTTGTTATGTATGGTGCAAGTGTGTATGCACTTGAACAGCTGGCAACTGTGTATGATGCCACATGTTGCTGAATCTGATCCTGATGCTGCTTGTCCTGAAATGAAGGCATATTCTCCAGATATGACCTTGATAAGATCCAGTTTCAAAACCTGATGTGCTGAAAGCGGTAAAGGCAGCAAGAAATCTTGCTTCCTGTACCTAGTCAGGATACATTCGCGCTCAAGACAACCAATAGCTTTGTTTGTGCCGAGACAAACACAACGTGTTCCTTGAAAGTTTGTTCATTATTTTCTTGGATCAAAGTGATGAAGCTTCTAATGGTTTGTTTTCATGTGTTGAAAATAAATCGTGAAGTCCATGATGACTTTGTATTCTTTGAATACATGTGCTTGAATTATATTTGGATTGAATGAGTTTGCAAGTGAAAGTTACATGTTAAGTTATTGTGAGGATGAAAATTACCCTATATTTTTGTAAATGATCAGAATGTACTTGGGGTGAAATTGAATTACTTTACTTTAATGGTTGAGAAATTACTGTCATCACTGCAATACTGGTATTAAGTGGTTCATCTTTATGACAGGCAATGTTTAAGTGGCTTGGTAGTCTATGAATTTTCTGATCAACATTTGACCATAGTGATAGTATTCATGTAAAAGTTAGATGTGCAGCAGTAGAAACATCATTGGTGTAAGTGCTAGTGGGAGGTGACCATCACAAATTATAGGCATGGGGACATTTTAGACTTGCTGTGGTTGCTGTTGCCGACTGGGGAAGTTGAATGTATTCGGCAGGGAAGGATGTTTGACTCTGGATCGTGTGATGGGTGGATGTGTATATGACATTATACTTACTGGATAATAAGAGATGACATTGGCAAGTTCATCGTTATATGAGGCTGTGGCTGAACATGGTTTGCTGTTACAGAGATGCAGACAGGAGGAGATGGCAGATGTAGCTGCCTTAATAGTGACACTGGTAGCCGCTCTGTACCACCACTTCACTCACTCCGGTTCCTTACTTGTTTTAGCATGTGGGATTGTGCAGATACCATGAGGATACAGCAAATATGAAGTTACATGAGTTAACTATTGTTTAATTTTAAGACGCTTAAACAATTGAAATGGGTTTTAGGATGTTGATATGAAATGCTTGTTTACACAGCTTTGTATTGAATGCAACATCCAGGACCATGATGCAAGGTTTGACAGAAGTTTTACAGTGATTGGCTGATGGAAGATGGAGGCTGAGATTTGATGAAGCACTTCAACTGATGGATTGACAAGCATACAATGGAGACAATACTTTTCCAAAACATATGTTAAACAAAAACTAGCTGTTTTGTGTATTTCTATATGAAAATGAAAATTATGTAGGGTATGAGCAAGATCTATTAAACCCTGGTGCAGCAGATATTTCTTTCTAATGTGCAGGTTACATTTCTTTTCATAACATCCGAAAACAGCCTTTTACAATTTCTCATTTAACGAAAGGATGAACACACAAAAAAAATACATCCACACACTTCCGTAACTATAGGTTATATTACAGGATTAGGTTGTTGCCTGCTGTGATGTTGCTGGAATATTGCTAAAAGCGGCGTAAAACCCAACTCACTTACAGAATTAGGTATATGTTTTGTCTTAAAATCATGTTCTGAACAAAAAGAATTCTGAAATGAGTGCACAAAAAATTCCTCATGGGCTAGATTTCTTCAGAAAATAAAATGAAATTATGTTTGTATAAAAGTAACTCACTGAAATTACTGAAATATTAATAACCCTTTGATGTGCTTGGAGATAAGGAGGTTTTCAAAAACTTTCTTGTGTCCAAAGCCTGAAGAAGCACCAAGACAAGCTTGTCCTGTTTCACAGTGGACTGGGAGCCGCACTTCTCTTGCCAAGAACATGATGGGTATAGACCAGGATGCATATTTTCTCCTTGCTGAACCTGCAATAACATGCTTCAGTAACATCACACTTATCAGATGATGACATAGGTTAAACTAGTGTTCTTGAAGTTAGGCTGTTGTGTTCAGGGTACAGAGGGTTGGAAGTGTCCAGTTTGGAGTGGAGTGAAGTGGTGGCATGGGGTCGGTAGTGGTTGGTACTTGTCCCTTGTTCACCTGCTCCCCATGTTGTTTTTCAGATCCAGAAAGAGAAGGCCAAAGAGATGATGTCATTAGATCAGCTCAGAAATGTAAGTTTGAACACACTTGAGCTGGAAAAAACAAATCCACAGATAATTAATTGGTGATTAAAGGTCCTCATGTCAGATGGTTGTTTTTCTCAGCCCCGTCCTGTGCTAAGATATAGGCTGAGGAGAAAGTTCTCCCTTTCTGCTTTAATGGTTGAGTAGGAATAGATAAAAAAGAACTACACATCACAAACGTGATGCAATCCATTAGCAGACAAACAGGACAAGGATCACAGATCAAAAACAAGTAACATATTGAAAAGACAACCTCATGTTAGTTTGATATAGGTAATTTGACAGACTAGAATTGGAACCTTTTGGAAAAGTATTCTTAATAAATAAAAAAAACACCTGTTTGAGTGCAAAATCTGTACATAAAAATAAATATTCTCCATGGCTTGACCCAAGTGTAGAAATTAGGAAGGTATGAATGTTGATAAAGATAAGAAAACTTATTCTGAACTCGCACATTAAATATTGAATATCTGATGTTGACCTTGGCACCTTGACACATTATAGTCATGTGAAGAAAGTACATATTGTATGCAGTATGTTGCTTTTATGCACATTACCCCTTGAGTGTTGTGCCTCTTACCAATTCAGTTTGTCCTTATATATATATAGTTAGGGTGGGGTAGCCTAGTGGTTAAAGCGTTGCCGTGCACATCAATCTGTTAAGCCCATTTCTGGTGTCCCCTGCCCTGGAATATTGTCAGGCTAAAACTGAACTCAGTCAGTCAGTTATATATAGTTCCTTCTCATATGTAGTTTCTTACTTTCAAAGGACACATAACTATAGAAATAGACTCAATTAGAAAAATCATAAAAGGTGGTGGTTGTTTGGTTTAGTGTATTGAAGCCTTTTCTCACTAATTTCATCTGATTGTAATCGGTTTTCTTGCTGAGCCTGCTAAGGTTATGATATTGAGCGGCAAGTCCAGCAAATGTCATCATAATTTCTACAAACAAATTTCCCAACTAACTTTATACAGTAAAATAAATAATGTTTTGGCTTTGTATAGTTGACCTTATTTAACTGACCTGGTTCTCCAATTGTGGCAGTGTTTGCAATACTTAATTTTGCCAGTTGGCCATCAGGGCCTGCTGCTGCCTGCAGGCTTTAAAATCTACAGGCCCTGAATGAAATCTGCAGGCCCATATTGTGCAAGTCAAAGCAATAAAAACCAATAGTCTGTACACAATTTCACAATGTTTCCACAAAATCAATTAGCGAAGCCTATGGCACAGAGAGAAGTTGCTGTTTGTTAAAGACTGGTGTTGACATTCATATGCGTAAAGCGCAAATACCAGGAAATGAAACTGTAAGTTATTGTAAAATGATGGGTCATGGATGATTCCTGAACGTTAAGAAATATTCCAGTTGAAAAAAATCCAATACAATACAATAACAACCGGCTCTGGGCCGTCATTTCAAACGCTGATCGGCGGCATTTAAGTGGGATATATCCCTGGTAATACATAAGCCCAATGTTTCAAATAATGCTATTTACACCAAGGTTTAATTTCAGTCTTTGGTACAGGTCTTAATTGCCCACAATGACAATGGCAGCTGCTAAGACTACTCTTAAAATGTCCTTATGGACATGGTTTTTATCTTTTGCAAGTCTCTTAGGTGACAGGTATGAAATCAAAACAATTGTACCTGTTGCAGACGGCTGATCTTGTAAATGCTCGAGCCACAGAAATGGACAAAATAAAGGCAGCCATAAACCAATCCACCAGAGATTTTGATCCATCCAAGTAAGTTATTAAACAACATTTTTACAAAAAGAAACTTGTTATTGGATAAAAATGTGTTTGAACTTATTCCAGTTAGAAAAGTTGCAAATTTTCTTAATTCATCAAGATCATTAGAAATATAATATATATTTATTCAGTATTTCGGCCTCATAGCCTAGAATACATTTGTAGTTGATAGAACACGTCACGTGGTGAACAATACAGCAACATTAGAAATAGAATTAGAAGGACACCAAATTTTATGACATTTTGGAAATGATGAATCCTTCAACTTTTAGCACATCTCTGCAAAGTAGGTGTCACAATGATTTGTAACACATGAACTGAAATATTTGTGATAGAGCCAGTGGAAATGTGCAAACAAGAGACAGTATAAGGAGATATGTTTAAATCATACCCTAAAACCTGTTGATAGTTACCAAAATGTTTCCAGCTATGCCAAGTCGAAGCTGCCTACCGGTACCCCACCCAACACTTACACCTGTTACAAGTGTGGAAAGCCTGGTCACTTCATCCATGCATGCCCTCTCAAAGATGTAAGTTAAAAGAAAAACATGTTCAAATATAACAGCATAGAGTGAATATGTTTTATGGAATCATACTATTCTAACGAATTACTACAACATTTTAAGCTTCTTTTAAATAGCAAACTGTTTTAGATTTTACTTTTGGATGAGTTGAACTATATTTTAGGGTTAACTTCTCATGGGACATAGTTGAGAATTTGCATGAAAGATGTCTATATTTTAAGTTGATAATTACATTCTAGGTAATGATGGGAATGAAACTCAATGTACAGCAGAAGTAAACATATAATTCCAAAGCTATAACCAATCTTATCAGTTTATTCTTTTGTTTCCAGTCAGAGACGCCTGGAGTGATAGAACCACGATTTAAGAGAAGTACAGGCATTCCCAACAGTTTCCTGACCCTGACGGACGACCCCACTCAGCCAGGAGCACTGCTGACCCACACAGGACACTTTGCTGTCCCCACTCTTGATGCGTATGTCATTCTTGATTACATGTGATAATGTTTAATTCACAATTCTTTAAGATTTTGTTCCATGCTTGAATGGACCACATGAGTTTGTTGAGCTAAGGTATAGGTAGCCCTGTAGCTGAATCACTCCCTCCCCATACTGCAGACCAAGATATATTAATGTATTGAATGTATGTTAATTTGGTGGTCCCATTGTATAATCTATTTGTCCATGCAGGACGGCATACAAGATTGGGAAGAAAGAGCGGCCCCCATTTCTGCCCGAGCCGAAGAAGGAAATTGTGGAGCCCCAGCAGCCTCGGATACCCCCAGCCCTGCAATGTCCCCCTCTGTAAGGAGCTGCTGAGGGATGCTGTTGTCACCCCATGCTGTGGAAACAGTTTCTGTGATGAATGTAAGTAGTGCATTACATCTTCCGGTTCTTTGGGGCGGTGGGGTCTACGGCTCACAAACTCACTCAACAAACCTTTCAAAAGGGATCGATTTATTCACATCTAGTGATTGTAGCAAGAATGCTTGACTCATGAGTGCTGTATTTATCTTTACAGGTATAAGAAATGCCCTGCTTGAGACAGATGATCATGAATGCCCTGTGTGTCACGAAACAGATGTATCACCAAGTCAACTCATTCCAAACAAATTCCATCGTGATGCTGTCAGCAAATTCGTCAATGAAAGCAGTCACAATCCAGTGAAATCTGAAAGGCATGCTCCTCCAAATCAGGCTCCAAGACAACCACCGATTGCTCCACCTCATATACACCCAGGGCCACCACCGATTGGACCACCACGTATACAGACCGGGCCTCCTCCACCAATTGGACCACCACGTATACAGACTGGGCCTCCTCCACCAATTGGACCACCACGCATACAGACGGGGCCTCCTCCACCTATAGGACCTCCACATATACAAACTGGGCCCCCACCGGCACACAACATTCACCCCCCACTCATGTCCAGGACAGATACCCCTCCATCAAATGTTGCCCCAGTACCACAAGTGCCGCCATCCCAGACCTCAGTGCCTCCACCAACACAACCACCACCTGCCATGGTGCCAGTGGAGCCACGCCCACCACCACAGGTGGCAATGGTTAAGTCGGAGCCACCTGACAGTGCAAGAGGGAGGTTAGTAAATAGTCATTGCAATCATTTCCAGATCCTGAGGCTGGTTGAGAGCACATGTAGACATGGTATCAGATTGAACCTATACAATTGAGATACTCTGCATTAGTTACCAGTAATTTCTATATTTATTGTGGAAATGACAATGAATGCCTTTATGTAGCATGTGTGGCTGTAGGCAAGAAGTAACAATTAGCACACATGAAAAATTGGGTTATGTTTGTAATCAAGCTTGTGAAAAACACTTGAGTGAGTCTAGTTCTACGCTGCTTTTAGCAATATTCCAGTAATATCACTGCTGGGGACACCAGAAATAGGCTTCACACATTGTACCCATGTGGGGAATCAAACCCAGATCTTCGGCGTGACGAGCTAACCCTTTAACCCCTAGTCCACCCCACCGTTTGAAAAACAATTAACGTGTAAGAAGTAGTATGTTTGTATACTGAGGTATTTCAGTGGGCTGTTTTCATACTTTCAAACAGATACTGTGATTTAATTATTTTTACAGTCTGTCACCTGGTGAGCACCCATCTACTCCCACTAGAGATGAAAATTCCCAGTCTGCTGCTTCTGATGAAGAACCTCGGGTAAGCAAACATTGAAACTCTCGGAAAAGAGGGTTTGAATTAATCTTGTATTAACTACCTTCTAAGATTCAGTTTTGAAGTGGCTTGATCACTGTGATTATATACAACTGTCTCTGTGTTGCAGGGTATGGCTGTGCAGGTTGTGGGAACCAGAATTGGTAACTCCATACAACTTACAGGTTAGATATCAGTTACTTTTAGAATCCTTTATAGTGGCCTGGATTTAGATGTTTTTCTAAGCTAATTGGAAATGTTTGGAACGTCAGAAACTGGTGGTGACAGAAACCTAACAGCATGGACATACTTACATCTCTCTTTGCCATGATTATGTTTCTTGGTCAGTACCCGGGATTGTTTTTCTCCAAAGGGAAAATACCTAAGCTCTGCATGCCTCTGGCTTTATTTCTACGTGAAGATAGCATGTAGTTGTATTGCTAATATAGTGTTTGAAACACAGGATTATATGTAACTTCTTATAATTTTGGTAAAATTCATGCCTACTTGTGGACCACTGATTTCGACAGTTTGTATACATGTATCAACCCCACTTTTCAGATGGCTAATCCTCATATCTAGTGGATGCTTGTAAAAGCAACTTCTTGTAAATTTGGTATTATGTAATGTTGAATAGTTTGCAACATTTCCTCAAATCTGTTTCACAGCATCAGACGCCAGCAACGATTTTGATCGTGGTACCAATCACAGGAGGGGCAGACATTACGATGGTAGAGACGACAGGGACAGGAAATACAACCGACACGACAGGCCAGACCAGTGAGTTAGATTCATGGACATTAGTACACTATTTTGGGCAGTTGTTTCTGTTACCATAATGTTTCTACAACCATCATAATGGTTTTAATAATAAACACCAAAAAATAGTTGCAGAGTAAGGTTACCGATAATATTTTCCCAACTAGACAATATCTGTAGGAGAGTAGATTGGGGTAAAAAGATGATATTACTAAAATATTGTTCGGAAGTGATGTTATTAGTTTCATGGACTCACTTTCTCATAAATGTTATGAAATCATGTTGTGTCACATTTCATTGAACATCACAATATTGTTTAGTGACAACCTTCCTTACTTATCACAGCTTTTCAAGGAAGGACAACTACCACAGAGGCAACTATGATCAACCCCTCCCCAGAGAAGCAGCATCTGGCCCTCCAGGCCCCCCTACCCATATCCCTCCAGTGAAGAGTGAACCCACTCCCTTCCCACCTTTCCCTGGCCACCCTGGCCCACCCCCCTCTATGAATGTCCCTCCCCCAGGGTTTGGAATGCCACCAAGGATTCCTCCAACAGGTTAGTTTCAATATTGTCAATTTAATAAATAATGTTCTGCCACATTGTTCAGTGTTTCTTGTGTCAAGTAAGTTAGGTCAGTATACAAACATTTCAGGACAACTTACTGGAGACAGTGTCAAGTACTTGTAAGGGTTTATTTCTTTGATGCTTCCAATATTGTAAGGACAAAATGAAAAAAATGTCCCTGAAGCAACAATATTGGCAAAGCTTTTTATGCTTTAAGAACAAGTATGACATTGATAGCCAAAACTAAAGCAGCATATCCAGGCTGTGACAATGATTGCTTGATATTTGACTGCCTCATTATCTAACAATACAACTGTGGTAATTCCTGGTAAGATTTTAGCTTTCCGGCATCTTATGTTTGCTCGACATCCTCAATCCTGCAGTGTCATTAAATATTAATTTTTAAAAGTTGTTTAATTGAAACATGCATGAGACATATTGGGTGCAAGTTTACCAAAAAAAACATGATTTTTCTTAGTGTCTGCTTGCACTGGTGCTTGTTTTTGTTGGCTAAATTACTACATAAAGGCTGATGGCAAATGTTTATGCATGTATGCATGTGAATTAATGTGTTGTATGTTTCAACAGGACCCCCACCAGCCCCTATCCCAGTCCTGGGCCACTCATCAGGAGGCTTCCCCCCTAGTGTTTTCCCCTCATCGGGAATACCCCCTAGCTTCCCTCCTCCATTGAAGCCCCTCTCAGAGGCTGAGTTCTACAAAGAGAAGGCCAGACTCCTGCAGCAGAGTCTGTAAGTATCCTATGCTGAAGTATTTCTTACTCAGTCATATTATAGTAGCTCAGTTTAACACACTTCTCATTTTGAAGTGAACTCAAAACAGACAGATGTCCGAAAATGTACCATTCAGGAATTTCATTTTAGACTGAGAAAAATACATTACCGCTATATATGTCAAAAAGGGTCCTCGTTACAAGGGGTTAAACTTGTTCAACAACTGGAAGAAAATGCTTCAGCTTGTGTGAAAATACATTCTGTTTACTATCCCAGACTGGCCTGTTATCTATTTATTCCAGTCATTCGGACCTGAAGACTGTCAGAGTCAACTGTTATAACTTTTATGTTATTTTGTACTATTACTACAACAGAAAGTTTTGTTTCAGGCCTGTCCCAGCCCCAAGACCACGCCGTGACATGATGGATGACTTTACCCAGGAGTTGCTGGCATATAGCAAAGATCAGAGGAGAAGGAAAATTAGCAGATCAAAGTCCAGGTAAATAGAGACAACATTCCCAACTGCACAGAAGTGTCTGATCTGGTCATGCTTCCGAATTATAGAATTTCATTATGTCTCCCTCCGAAGGTTTGGGAGACATATTGTTTTTGGTTGAGTTTCTGTCGACGTTCCCACTGTTTCCGGAGCATAACTCTAAAACTACTTGAACAATTTTCACCAAATTTGGTATACTGCCTCTCCATATCATGTAGATGTGCATTTTGGGGGTTTGATTGTTGTTGTTTATTGTCTGTTTTCATGGCAACAATTTGGACTTTGTTTCTGAAGGGTAAAGTTCGTTTCCGGAGCAAAATTCTGAAACTATTTTACCCATCTTCACCAAGTTTGCTATACTGCCCCTCCATATCATGTAGATGTGCCTTTTGGGGCTTTGAACTTTTCTTTCAATTTTTAAAAAAAAATTTCAACAAATATGGACTTGGTCTTTTTGAAGGTACAAAATTTGGAAAATGAAGGAATCCAATGATTTGTTTGAGGTCTCAACGTTGAATTGGGGGAAGGGGGAAACATCTGTTTTTACCAGTAAAAACACTTTCTAATTTATTACTGAATATGAGCATCAAAATGTTATCCCCTAGCTATGCAGTTGTCATGTTAATGAACAGTCGTAATTCTTAAAGGACTCATTGTTTTATTTTAATTCCCTCCCTTTGGCAAGGCTGCATTACTTTCAATGACATGATAAATTGTGTTTCTTTTTGTTAGCACAGTGGGAAGTCCTAAGTTTAAATTGGTCCGCAGCAACCAAATCTTGTTGAAAGTGAAATAGAATGTTATGTCCAACTTGGTGACTTGGTTGATTGTGTTGGACCAGGTTGGTGTTGATCATTGTCACTATTGCGATGACTGGATACTCTGGTCAGATAGTCAGACTTGAACATTACCGGAGTGTGGTGTTAAAGAACAACTAAAACAAAGCATTTCAAGATAAACTTAATTTTTCCTTATCCTGACTCATGCTCTTTTGCTTGTCTCCTTCCTCTTGCGAACATAGTGGAACACTTGTATCTCCCTAATTGAAGTTCCCTTCAATGTAAAATCACTAATTAGTACACCACGAGTTACCTCCCTTCCACAAGCGCGTGAACGAGGGCGCCACCTCTACCCATGTGCCTCACTCTCTCCTTCTTCGCCCAGTGAGCTGGACGGAGAGCCTCTGTGTCTCCCAATAATAACTATATCCTTTGATTATATTTAGTTAGTTACCTCAAGATAGAGATCTATAGAGGTTTAGCTAGTATCTTTCAACAATTATATATTGATATTTAGTCGTGTTTCTACTGTTTATGCATCGGACGCCGCGGTTGTTGCAGTGGATTACGCTTGATAAAAATTCTGTACTGTTGCACATTACGCTTTTTATTCTGCTGCTGATCCGCATTTAATATGCCCTAGCTGTACTCGCGCCATGTTTCATGTGATTCACGCTGCAGTTGCGATACTAATTTATCCAATTCTACCTTTAATAAATAATTACTTTATGCTTTGAGACGCTGCGAGCAGATAGGTCACGATGCAGAGTCTAGCATGACTGATACACCTGAACCCTCGCCAGTCTACTGCTGTTGGTCGACCCCCTCCGCCTGGGTTTCCGCTAGAATGGTGGAGAGGCGTATGGGGACGAGTCCGGGCTTCCAAGAAGCATCCTGCTTCCCCAGACATCCCTTCGCCGCACTGAGGGGTATTCAACGAAGTCTACTAGAACTTTTCAGCCGAGATTGTTCTCATCGCAGATTTGGGCCGTATGATGATCAGCCTATCATCATTCCTGATGTACATCAAAGAATGACTGATGTCGGCAACAGTGATGTCAGCGCAGATCAACATTCGATGATCTTCCTGAGGGTCCCGCCGCTATTAACACTCAACGCAGACTTCGCACTCCCCAGGGCAGCCGACCTCTGAGGGGAATTCAACGGTCTACTAGGACTTTCTCAACCGAGATTGTTCCAGCCGCTGAACTTGGCCTCTACGATGATCAGCCGATCATCATCCTCGACGATGAGACAAGTAGCCACCGTGACAGCTACAATGAAATCAGCAGAGATCGCCATGCAGCCTGATGTCTCTACACTGATGTCAGACGACTTACCTGAGGGCCCCACCACTAACAGCGCAGAGATGGCACCGACTACTTCGCCGCAGACCATCCCAGACGAAGCTACTACGCAAATCATGGTCGTGGATGGAGGGTCACTACAGACTGGAGAAGCAGCCAGCCTAGAGTACGAGCCTTCGCCAAGGCTCCAACTTAGACAACACTCTAGAGGCACCTCCAGTCAACGTGAAAGCAGCCAAGACGATGCAGCCTTCGCTGGAAGGAAGTCGCAGACCACCTTGGACGAAGGACCCAGATGTACAGCCTTCGGGCTAAGGCGCTCAAGGCGGATAGATCATCACATTCCTCGCTTCATCCTTAGATGCAGACTCAGCCACCAGACCTCACGGAAGCCTTCGCTAAGCTCAAATCGCCGCCTCCCCAGCACCGAACGCAGAGGAAGCTTGGCATGGCGTCGCTGGCGTTCGCGGAAGGCATTCGCTAAGGCATTCGCTAAGGCACTCGGAAGACACACCCAATATAGATCGCCATTTAACAGAGTCAAGGGACTACTCAAGAGCTTCGCTGGCTGTCAATAGTCTCCGATCTCCTCGCAGACATCACCACATCGACGCTTCTCACAGGTTACCACACAAGTTCGCACACAAGTCTACATCACCTTCCTAGAGTGGCAGTACGACGCAGACATACCTGATGAAGGAAGACGACGCAGATGCTATCACCCCACCGGGATCGAATTCGGACAAGCGCGTAGCACAGAATCTAGACATAGCATCCCATAAAGCCACAAAAGTTCAGACACCATAATTGCTCAACTTTCACGCTTAGAAGTTTTCCACGCACAACATGGACCCTTCTTCAAGGCTTAAGACATCGATGAAAACTACAAGTTGATCATCGATATCAACAATAAGAACTACAATCGTGAATTGGTTCAGTTGAATCCATGACGAGACGATGTTCGTTGGCCTAAATAGATCTAGAACGATCATTGAGACACTTATCACCAGATTTCGTGAATACTAACTTCTGAAAATGATAAGATGATCCACTCGCCCTACTTATGCAGAACCAGCAAGTCCCAGGTCATTCCTCCACATGAAGGAGCTAGAGCCTCACCAGCTACAAGGGACGCCATGGAGGAGTAAGCCACGACCCCACATCCTGTTAAACACAGAGGCCATTCGGCGGTATAAGTTTTTTATATATATATATATATATATATATATATATTCTAATCGACTTTGATTCGACACCTTCGCTAAGGTCGCTGGAAGGCTAAGTGGCTCCAAGTCTACTTCACCAGTAGATCTAGAAGGGATACTTCGAGAGCTTCGCGGAAGTCTCCGGGCGCTCACCGAGGAAGTCTCCAAGGTCTCCATATACTAGCCACTGGCCATATATAGCTACTCCTCAGTCCGCTCAAGACATCGATGATAAGTTGTCTATCAACTGTATGCCAGATGCCGCCTATAAGCCTACGCTAAGACAATTGCACAGGCTATTTACAACACAGAACGCCGCTGTATTAATTTGTCAACGACGCTTCATAGATCTTCACAGAAATCAACTATTCCGTGATAAATTGCTAGTATATGCAATCCCGGACGACGATACGACATCTACATGCGACTATTACGCGATATCTGCAGACAATTCAATATCGAAATTGAACAGCAGCCTTGTTACAGCCAGTATAACTCATAATCGTCAACATTTCTGAGAAGAAATATGTACAACAAATTCAGCTTTAATTCTACATTTATGACGCATACATTCATGTATACAGTCTACAAGCTGACAACTTACAAGTTATTGTACCTTTATATATAAAGAAGTCGGAATTATATTCAAAACTGAAGTACTTTCACTACAGCCAGGAAAATAACCTACCCAGCATTAATATTACAGAGCAAGGTATTTTATACCAAGCTGCTCGCTATTACCATTAACTCAAACACGGTCACTGGTAACTTCGGAAGTTACTTATGAAGACCGATGATTGTTCTAATATCAACGACGGCACTATATTATACAAGGTTCCTTTTCCTGCTACACCGGTGACATCACAGCTGGGTACTCTACAGAATCAAAATGCCTTATTCTGATTGGACCCCCGATGAACAACGCCCTACACAGAGGTCGAAAGCATAGTTCACAGTTCAAGACATAGGTTGCAAGTGACAACTTTATATCAATGAACTAGCAAGCTCTCCTTACAGCCCAGTTAACCTGAACCTTCATGATTAGGCTGCTTTCTTCAGGTTAGAGACCTCCCTGTCAAGTTTAGACAAGGCACAGCAGTCAGGCGCATTTTACATAAAGTTCATCGAGGACACAAACTCCGGGTTGCACATACATCGCCAAGGACATCGCAACGATTTACCTAGACGACGTGGATACAAGTGGATCAAATCCAGCAGCTTTCAGACTACACCTGAATTTCATCATCAAGCTACTAACACAACTAGATGGTTAGTAAACCTACTAAGTTTCTGTTTGGAGAATAAACGAAGTTTCAATGCACTCAACTTGGGGATATGAATATAGTGCTACAACACCTCACAAGTGAGGTTTATGAACATGCCTGGATGACATACTTGGACTCCATGATAACGATGATGCTATCACGCTGGCCAGCAAGAGCACTGTAAATTTATCTCCATTAAACCAAACAGGAAGAAAAAATACAACAGATTTTTTCCTCTATCATCAACTTACGAGTGTAGTCTCAATGCACTCATATCTCCGCTTGGATCAGAACTGTCATACTACGCGTGCATACAAGACAGATGGACCTAATCCGACCCTCCATGAGCTTTAATACTCTTGATATTAGAGCCCTAACTTCTACAATTTCATCTACACAAATGTTATTTGAAATAATGGAGGGTTTATTACTGTAGATCCGATATGGTGGTTGCCAACCATTATCTGAGAGATATCACCACCGAGGACATCTCAGGTATCCACCCATTGATCCCATGGTCCTTGCACAACAGTTGACAGTCTCCTGAGAAGATAAGTCAATCTTACAGATTTTACTTATCTTATAACAGTACTAAATAGCTTCATGCTATATATAATTTGCTTAAGCTCGTTTTTATCATCACAGTGGTTACATGATAAATGCATTAGCTAACAAACTCTACAGAGTTTTTTGGCTATTATATTAATGAGCTTAAGTCAAGTATATTTTAAGCATAGTAATTATACTCATATTGTAAAAATACATTAGCTAACAAACTCTACGGAGTTTTGCTATTATATAGGTAGCTTAAGCTCATTCATATCTTAAGCTCAGTACTATGTTTATATCATATAACTATATTAGCTAACAAACTCTAAAGAGCTTTTGCTATTTGGCTTAAGTTTCATCATATCTTAGCAATATGGTTACATTATAACATGTATTAGCTAACAAACTCTATGGAGTTTTTGCTATTATATATGTAACTTAAGCTTATTCATATCTTAAGCTTTAGTATTGCATGTTTATAGCATATAGGTATATTAGCTATCAAAACTCTAAAAGAGTTTTTGCTATTATATATTGGGCTTAAGTTTTCATCATATTTTAAGCTTTATGGTTACATTATATCATGTATTAGCTAACAAACTCTCCACGGAGTTTTTGCTATACATATGTAGCTTAAGGTTTCTTCATATCTTAAGCTCAATACTATGTTGATACCATATAAGTATATTAGCTATTAAAACTCTAAAAGGTTTTTGCTATTATATATTTAGCTTAAGGTTTACTTCATATCTTAAGCTCAATACTAGGTCTAAATCAACATAATAAAATGTATTAGCTATCAAACTCTCACGGAGTTTTACTATTATATATATATAGCTTAAGTTTAATCATATCTTAAGCTCAGTACTATGTTTATAACATAAAAGCATATTAGTTAATAAACTCTAATGAGTTTTTGTTATATACATTTAGCTTAAGTCTAATCATATCTTAAGCTTAGTACTATGGTTACATTATAAATCTATTAGCTAATAAGCTCTACAGAGTTTTTGGCTATTGTATATGTAGCTTTAAGTTAATTATATCTTAAGCACAGTACTATACTCATATTGTAAAAATATATTAGCTAACAAACTTTACTAAGTTTCATTATTATATATGTAGCTTGTTAACTATATCTTAAGCACAGCAATTATACTCATATTGTAAAAAATATATTAGCCAACAAACTTTACTAAGTTTGGCTATTATATATGTAGCTTAAGTTAATTATATCTTAAGCACAGTACTATACTCATATTGTAAAAATATATTAGCTAACAAACTATACTAAGTTTGGCTATTATATATGTAGCTTAAGTTAATTATATCTTAAGCACAGTATTATACTCATATTGTAAAAATATATTAGCTAACAAACTCTACTAAGTTTGGCTATTATATATGTAGCTTAAGATAATTATATCTTAAGCACAATACTATACTCATATTGTAAAATGTATTAGCTAACAAACTTTTACAAAGTTTGCTGTTATATATATAGCTAAGCTTATTCATATCTTAAGCTCAGCACTGTCTATATCATATAAATATTTTAACTAACAAACCCTAAAGAGGTTTGTTATTATATAATTAGCTTAAAAATTAATCATATTTTAAGCTTAGTGCTATGTTTATATCTTAAAAGTATTTTAGCTAACAAACTCTAAGGAGTTTATACTAAAGCATATTAACAAGCTTTAAGTCTATTAGTCTTAAGCATTGTATTAATATTATATATACTTATCATAATAAGTACATTGTAATAACCTCTATATGGCAGCTGATAAGCTGGCAGCAGGAATTCATCAGTTCAATGCCTTTATGAAGTTCTCATAGGGTTATTACAATCATCACAGTTCAAATCACTAATTATTAAAAATCCAAAGTATTATATATTCCCACCTCCGCCTCTGTTGGATTCTACAAGCAAAAGAGCATGAGTCAGGATAAGGAAAAAATATGTAATTTTTGAGTAAAATTGATATTTTATACTTATCCTGACTCATGAGGTCAGCCCTCCCATCCTCCCCAAATAACACTTTGGATTTCCCTGTAAATTCAAATGTTGGGCTCAGTATATGAGGAGAGAGTGAGGCACATGGGTAGAGGTGGCGCCCTCGTTCCCGCGCTTGTGGAAGGGAGGTAACTCGTGGTGTACTAATTAGTGATTTTACATTGAAGGGAACTTCAATTAGGGAGATACAAGTGTTCCACTATGTTCGCAAGAGGAAGGAGACAAGCAAAAGAGCATGAGTCAGGATAAGTATAAAATATCAATTTTACTCAAAAAATTACATTTTTCTTTTTAATCGTGACTATGTAATTGGCCTCATATCAGTGCATATTTATTTCAGGACAAAATCAAAATCAAGATCCCGTTCCAGATCTAGAAGTATTTCAAGAAAAATCAGAAGATCTCACTCAAGGTCCCGGTCAAAGTCTTGGGTTCGGTCCAGGTCTAGATCCAGATCACGATCGAGGTCCAGAAATAGGAAGTTGTCACGGTCCAGATCAAGGTCACTAAGACGATCCAGATCCAGATCTTTGCGTAGCAGACTTAGATCAAGGACTCGGTCCAGGACCAGAAGTCCGAGGCGGTCTCGGTCAAGGTCTCCACGCTTAAGATCTCGGACAAGATCACCTCGATCAAGAACCAGGAGTCCGAGATCAAGACCATACACAAGATCACGGACTAGGTCAAGGTCACGTTCTCGCCCAAGGTACAGATCTTACACAAGGTCAAGATCTCGATCGTTCTCACGCTCTCCACGATATTCCAGATCTCGATCAAGGAGTCCATATAGGCGTCGCTCTCCGTATTATCGCAGATCTCGATCGACATCACGTCCACGGTCACCACTTAGGGCTTCACCAAGAAGACTTCCTCCTCCTGTGGGACGCAACCGCTGGTCCCCTCCACCATTCCGCAGTTACAGAGAACCAGAGGCTCCTCCTCCACCCCCGGGAGAGACTGGACCTCCGCCATTGATGGGACTTCCCATGAGGCGATTCTCACCACCACCACCACCACCAGACAGATATGGATACAACCCTTATGCTGATCGAATGCCACCGGATCAATTTTATGATAAGTAAGTATATAGATATGTTGATAATCAATATACTCTACACTCTACTAGGCTTTTAATGTTGAAAGGGGCATAAGGCCCAGGCTTGAACTCCATCATGAAAAGTCTTACATAGCACACATATGAGCCAGTGCTGGGACTTAAATATGCTTGTCAGACCAGTAAATGTTCCCAAAATCCGTAAATAGAATTAAGTTCCCCCAGAAGTGCAAGTTTAGTACAGGTCTTGTTTTGTTTGTGTTTTTATGTAAAAAATGGGGTAGCCTAATGGTTAAAGCGTCTGCTCGTCATGCCGAAGACAAGGGTTAGATTCCCCACATTGGTACAATGTGTCAAGCTCATGTTTGGTGTCCTCCCATCGTGATATTGCTGGAATATTGCTAAAAGCGGCATAAAACTATACTCACTCACTCACTCACTCGCTCATTGTCAGGAGGTATTTGTGATTCTTAGGTTTTTATTTGTTGTCATGTTTGACAAAAAATATTTCTTCTTTTTTTTTCAGCTTTAATCATCGACCATTTGAAGACAATTATAATGAATTCTTCAGGTTTGGGATGGGTCCACCTCCAGGAGGAATGCCAAATTATGATGGAGGTGGCTATATGGGTAACATGACTCGAGACCCACGGGCCAAGTCTCCACGCAGGAGGGGTAGGAGTCCAGCCAGGGGGGGTAGGGGCAGACGCAACAACAGAAACCCTGATTTCAGGAGAGAAAGGAATCCAGACTATGGAAATCTGGAGTTTGAAAACCAGGATCAGCAAGATTTCAAGAAAGGTAATCGATCCCAGGAATTTAATAAACGAGATGAAAATTCTCAGGAGGGTAAGTCAACTGATAAGCGTCGTGATTTGAACAGAAAAACAAGGGACAAAGGAAAAAGGGATGAGAAGAAGGATAAGAAAGATGGAAAAGATGACAAAGATAAAGATAAAGATAATAAGGAGAATGCAGATGGCAAAGCAAAGAGGGATGTTGTTAGGAAAGAGAAAGAATCTCGTCCAAAAAGTGTTGATCAGAAGGAGGTTAAAAAGGTGAAAAAGAAGCCTTGGAAAGATGGATCTGACAGTGATTCAGCAGTAGCTGGGCAAAACAGAACCAAGAAAAGTAATCTTATTGAAATCAAAATTGAAGCCTCTATTCCAGAGGATCCTGAAAAATCAAATAGTAGAGAGAGTAGTAAGAGTCAGAAAGAACCAGTACCCAAGAAATCTGAAAAAAGCAAGTCTGATAATGAGAAGTCTGTGAGCAAGAAAATAGGTAGTTTGAAGACAAAGGTGGTGAAAAGGCCAGAGAGAACAGGCTCTGCAAAAGAGAAATCTGAACCTGAAAAACCACGGAGAATAAAAACAGAGAAGCCTGGAACTGACAGTGGCAATCAATCGGACAATATGCCAGGTAAATTAAGAGTTAAAACCAAGAAAAAGAAATTGTCAAAGCCATCATCTGGGCCTGAGTCAGAAGGAAATGGCAAGTCTGATGGATCAGCAGAGAAAATGAAGAAGAAGAGAATGACACCAGACATCCCGGAGGACATACCAGAGGAGGACCTTGACAGCCCAGCCAAACGGATGAAACTGGATGAAGATGTGAAGGATTCTCAGAGTGAGCAGCAGTTGTCCGTCCAACGAAGTCACCCCGGGATGAGGAGATGGTGCCTGCTGTAGAGCTGTCCAAGTGGGAGCGGGAGGACTATGAGGAGCACTCTGCTAGTCCAGCCAGGAAGGTCAAGCGAAGCAATGAAAGGAAGCCCTTACCAAAGTATGTACTTTTTGCACACTTGGAATTTCTTCTTTGCCAACACCCCTTTGAATGGAAGGGTTGCTGGCAAAGTTCAAAGTAAGAAGTAAATGGGAGGGTTGTTGGCAGAGTTTAAAGTAAAAAGGGTATAGAAGGGATGTTCACAAAGTTAAAAGTTGTGATAATATGGCAGAATTGATCAATGTACCCTAATAGTTTGTGCCTTGGTGCTTCATAGACTGGAAAGGTAAGACAGAAAGATTAGGTACAGTGTTCTACTGATCACATTAAGTTTAGAAACATTTTTTGGAATAACAGGGCACAGCTTGCCTTGTCTTCTAATGGCAGTGGGTTTGAATCTGGGTTGACCTTGATTCAGGTTTGTCTCTGCCAAAGTTGAAAAAACGTCTAACCCCTTCAACAATTTGGGCTTTCCTTCATATCAAGCTGATATACTGTAATATAGCTGAAATACTTTTCAAAGCAGTGTTTTACCCAAACTCACTAATAATGTGAAGTTGGCTAGCAGAATTTTTATCTTGTTTCTCCAGATCTGTAATCGAGAGTGCTGAAAAAGTTTTGTCCCAGAAACCAATGCGACCAACTTCTGTGGCTTCAGCTGTGTCAGCACCAGTTGCATCAAAACCACACCGGCGTGTGTATCTGGAGGATGAACCAAAGGCATCTGATGATGACGACCGTAAAGTCATGAATAAACAGAAATCAATAGAAATCACAATATCTCAGGCAGAGAAGGGTGATGGGAGAACCAAGCCTGACCGAAGGGATCGGGAGGATCGCAGGGTAGATAGGAAGTCTAGTGTTACCCAATTGCGGTCAGATGACGAGAGGAAGGGTTCTAGAAATGGTTCAACTGGGAGTATTAAGGACAGGCTCGGGAAGCGGGAAGGGACTCATTATGATAAGGGAAGTGGGGATAGAAATCGGCGTCAGTTGGAGAGGACCAACAGCAGAGAGGAAGAACAGGGTAGGGGGAGGGAAGGGCGACAGGGAGGTGATACGTAGAGACAGTCGGGACTCCAGGGCCCAGGGTGCTAGTCAGGAGAGGTCAGAACATCGGACAAAAGATGTTGGACAAGATTCTGAAAAAGATGGGAAATCTGAGAAGGGTGGCAAACTTGCTGATCGTAAAGAATCTATGATTGACGAGGCAACGTTTGAACCAGATTATGACGAAGCTGACACTGATTCTGATAATGCATCGTCAGGAGAGGATCAGGCAAAGAATGCAGAGGAGAGCGGGAATGACTCCTCGAATGATGATGACGACGAGGACGATGACAGCAGCCCGTCAAAGAAAAAGAACAGAGATGGAGAAGATAAAAAGCATAAGAAAAGCAAACATAAGAAACATAAGCACAAACATAAGCATAAGCACAAACATAAGAAAAGGAAACACAAGAAACATAAGGAAGGGAAAGAAAAAGAAAAGTAAATATTACAATATCCACAAAGGTGATATGAAAACGTGATTGTTGACAAACTGATTGTGAAAAGGTTGAGTTTATAGATTTAATGAAAACATGGAGGAATTGTAATTTAAAACTCAAATGAATTTGATTTGAGGATGGGATGAATTAAATTATGAATTGTGTTCCATATGTGCTATTGATTGAAGCGTTCATAAAATCTTTGCCAAGGGTGCATTACCAATACATCAAGTAATATTTAGGTTTGAATCCAGATAATGCATATGTCACTTTAAGAAAACTTGCATCACTTGTGAAAGTGGAATGTTGTTCACTCTGCTTTGTTCATGCTTGCACTTCAAAACTAATGAGAATCATGATTGTGCAGAAAGCAAAAAATGTAGTCATATTTGAAGAATCTTTGTGAAGGCTTTGCATATAAATTCACGTATTATAAAATAACACACTGTTACATACTTTCGTTCACATACTTATCGAGTATGTTGAGGAAATAATATGTTGGGGGAAAATGTAAATGAATTTGTTCACAGGTAAGTAAATCTAAATATGGGTAAAGTAGATCAACACTTTAGTTCGTTTTGTTTTCAATGAAAGGTGAACTGCAACATTTCTTCCCAGTATCCCTTTCAGGCTTGGTTAAGTTGGTCAATTCTAATTTAGAAGATTGAAATGTTTGGTGACAAAATAGTCCTATATTTATTTCATTCGACATGACTGATTAACATCCTGTTCCATTGAACACTACCTGTTCAAATTAGGATTTAAAAAGCTTCACTATAGTATTAATTTTGGTGCATTTTTTCAATATAGCATATATTTATTTGTATTGAGAAGTTTGATTTTTGCTTACGTTTTGTACAGAGAGTATTACTTTAAAATGGAATATATATATTTTGTAAATATTTGAAAGGCAGATCGTGTTCAGAGAGATGTGTAAATATCTGAGTGTGAGATATGCTTGGATTGTATGTAACTCCAGAGAGGACAATAAAAGAGAGGTGATCTTTTAAAAATGTGTTTGTGTTGTGTGTGCTGATACCTGTTGGACTGACAGATTAACTTAAGTGATGTATTATTATCAACAGTTGAACATAACTGAATGTGTTCAACACTGCGATTCTGCAATAGCCACTGCTGAACTCATACACTCAGTCTGACAGAACATCATGGCATAGAACAAGGTGGTTTAAAGGAGGAAGTTACATGAGTGTCAGTAGTGATAATCATCCTGAACTGGCATTGGATGATCATCCAGTCTTTACTTGAGGACAACGTAACTTGACAAAACACGCCCTGCGCTTACTCAACCCCGCGGGCATAGTGCTGGCCCACGAGGATTATGGTCGACCTGTGATTTCAAACCCAATCAGTACATTGTAGCTGACCGCCATGTAGCTGGAATATTGCTAAGTGCTGCGTTAAACAACAAACCAATCGTCGTAACTGTAGTGCAGCGTGGCCCCTACAAACACATTCATTGAAAAAGTGGAGAGTTGTGAATATAAGTTTGTCGGGTACTTAAATATAGCGTTTACATGAGACTGGCTCAAATGCAAAAAAGTTTATTCTTCAAATTAATACCAGCTCGCCCACGATGTTATTAGAAACATTTGTCAGTTTGGTCATTATGTTTCTCAGGATCAATAACTGTGGGCTGCCTGTGTACCTGCTGACAACATAAACCACTGGATTGTCATGCCCAGCCTCCATCATTTACAAGTCGTCATATAGCTTGAATATTGTGTGCCGTTGAGAAACAAGCAAATCAATCTCGTGTTATAAATACATGCATTTTAATTGCGTATGTGGATGTTTTCCGCTGCTGTCATCGATATTTCATTATTTTGACGGCGGTCTGCATATTTGTTTCTGCAAAACATGAGGACCGCTATATTTAAGCAACAGGTCTGGGCTCCATGCGACAAGTATATTTTACAAGGAACGTTCTAACTCCATGACAAGCATCTCCGTTTTGGATGCGGAGCATACATATTTATTATTATTTGGTATTGACACATCCGATACACGTGTGTGTACAATGGCGGGTGTAATTGTATCGTCAAGTTATGCAGACCTGTATTGCAAAATACACGCTTATTTGGGAAATTATAAAATGCACCGACGTGAACTGAACAAACATACTGTCTGTCGTTTTTAATCAATGCAGTTTAAGAGAATTTTATGACAGTTCTCACACTTATATATTGCGACCACACTACAACGCCACACCCAGCAATATTCCAGTTGATGACGTCAGTCCGTCAATAATCTTGTCTGGACTGACAATCCAGAGATCGACATTTGACAACCTCCCGCTGTCACGATGACGCCATTAACCAAATCACCGAGCCTGAACTTCCGTCATGATGGCTCTTCCGAACTTGGCACTATGTATAGAAACGTATGTATGGTGCGTAGTAAGTGTATGCATTTCGTAAACATATGCATGCACTCGGTTGTGATACATTTTGAAAAATAAACAAACTTTCGTTCCTCCCATGAAAGTCTCACACACGTACCAGTTTTCCCAACCGTGTTAAAGCAAACTCACTCACTCACTCGCACTATTCATACAATTGTGTTGACATACAACATATTGTCTACTTTACTTATAAGTTAACACATATCTTAAGAAATTCAGTCTGTTGTGCATAATTTACATTAACGATATATACTTGTAATATTATCCCAGTAGATCTCATTGACCCTTTTTGAACAAACAAAACGCTCGATGAAAGCTGACTATATGAGGCGAGCTTCTCCAAGAAAAAGCAGTGCAAAGGGCGGTACTCTGGTACATGCTGTAATAGAAAAGCGTTAACGCAAATAACGACATCCTACAAGGGTTACATATTTCAAATATTGCGGTACATCACCGAAAATATGTCACAAATGAAATCTATAATACTTTCCTAACAAGCATATACGGCGTTATATTTGTTAGAAGATCAGATAACTTTACATTGGGGATTTTCCAATCTCATAGTTAGATTTAAACTATGGGTTTTAAAGGTGAACGAACTATACGCATGGAAGAACATACTTCAAAAATGCTTACAAACTGCGTCAAAAACAACTGACCACAAGATTGTTAAAATGTAAAAAGTCGTTACGTAAGCTGTACATTCTGGCACCCATCATCCTCGGCGCTAATAGCAGACGACCACTTCCTCAGTGCCTTTTTCTGAACACACCTGTACCAAGTGCAACGTTATATCCCAGAACGCAACTTGCACACATATGGATGAAAAATCTGTCAGTTCGCCAGCTGATCCTCCAGTAGATGCGGAAGGTGAGATATGAGAAATATCGACGCACTCGGCGTTAATATCATTATGTGTCTCCTGTGCAATAAACCTGATATTGTACCGGCACAGTCATTGTAATGTCTTTGGTTACGCCTTAGTGCATTTATATCGACAACTGATGACGTCCTACTTTGCGTGGATTTTTAACTAGCTAACACGTACATTGTGAGAATGAAAGATTATTATAACGTGGTTATCAGCTCGTATTCCATATGTTATGGCTTTTTTCATCTATGAACATGTTTACAATGTTTTTTATGGACAATCCCGTATGCTTTAAAACATACACAAGCACACGAGGGGCGATACAGGTTTTGCGGGCCAATTTGGGCTCAGCAGGCCAATTCAGGTTACGTGTTCCAATGCACTATTTGAGAGTGGCAGCATTTCCAGACCATCCAGGGTCCGATACAGCTTTTGAGAAGGGGGTGGGGTGGTGTTTTGCACACTATTGAGAAAAGGAGGGTGCACACTTCATTTTCACTCGAGTTTCAATGGTCATTTAATCAAGGGTGTGTGTTGTGTGGGTGTGTGGGTGTGTGTGCACATCCAAGCACCTCTGGATCCGCCTATGCCATCATGGCATTTAGGAAGGAGTCCATTTATTACATTGCAACAACAAGGCCATAGACTGTTTTCTTATACTACTAATATTTGTATATCCAGGTCAGCTGCTCAAAGACGCTTTGTTTTTCCCTCTATCATTGGATGTCAATCTCAAACGGCACATCGTATTATCAATCTCAACTCCCTGGGGATCATACAACTCTTGCAGCTACTAGGCGCACCAACTTAATGTGGCTTTTCCCATCCTTACGAGGTACCCATTCACAGCTGGATGGACTGGGACACATTGTCACAGTACTTTGTCAAAGATTACTGCACATTGCTGTACCCATAACTAGGTGTTTGCACATATTCATGCGGCCACCATCTGGTCATTTCCAACGGATTCGTGGGTTCTTTTAAGTGCACAGGGTTGTGTTCTGTACACTTATGTCTGTTACATTTTGACCTTTTCCTTCATCTTCTTTACTGGTACAACTGGTAGTCAATTAGTAGATACATCATTGAATGGGCATATTCATACTGACCTTGGAATGGTCCTTTGTCAGTCCTATTTCCCTTTGATGAGCTGTAATTGGGCCACCAGGTAGGCCATATACCAGCTATATACACTGATATGACTCAAGAGTTGAACATTAAATTAGATGTCAACAATAATCAAGTGGTAAGAAGGATTAAAAGAGAGGTTGGAATGGAACCCTTAAAATAAGTTGTCATCAAACAGCATCCTGACAACAATGTGTTGAAATTGCGAATTTACACAACAATTTACTCTTTTGAAAAATCCTATCAAACAGTCTAGCTCAAGGACTATGTATATGTAATGGTATGTAACTAATAAATTGTAACTAATAAATTGCTATTTTGGCCCTAAACTATTTTGACAAATCTTCCAGTAGTTGAAGTCTTGGTTTGCCACATGCATGAAATGTGGGAAGTCCACTTCTGTTATCCAAATGTTGGCAGACTGATTGAATGTTGGTGAAAGTGGCTTAAAACTCAACTCACTCACTCATTCCCAAGATTACACCTGACAAATATGTTGTAAAATTGATGTTTTCAGATTTTAGCAGCGAGTACAGTAGAGTTACCTCCCATGGTTGTTACAACCCAATATGGCAGATTAGATCATTTGAGAAGTTTAGGACTGGGTTCAATTCCCCAAATGGGTACAATATGTGAGCCCATTTGTCGTGTCCCCCACCATGATATTGCTGTAAAGTTGCTAAAAACGGCATTAAACCCTCCTCACTCAGTCTTATCTACTTGACAAGTGCAGATGGAATACCCACCATTAAACACCAAACTCCTGCCAGCTGCCCACAATCTTCAGAATTCAAGAACAGAATCAAGCCTGTTTCAAGACTCACAACAGTGAGTGAGTTTAGTTTTACCAGGGAGACTCTATAAGGGGGAGTGGTCACTCCTCGGAAAGCTCCTGAGCTATGCCTCGGCTCGTCACGTGACCAGTGCAGCCAATATGGCGGCAGCGTAGTTTTTAAGATTGAGCCCGGTTTATTTTCAACAGCTGATTACATACGCTGAGTGTTGTGACAACTGAAAACCTACATGTAGAAGATAAGTTACCTATTCTGTCACTTCATTTTAAGTCAAATACTTGTTATTAGTGTCAGTATAAGTACAGTAGCTTTGTAGTAAAGTTTAAAGTGGGCATGTTGTAGCTCACTGGCTTCAATTCTCAGTACACAGCGAAGAAAGACTAACTTATATCGCAAAAAACTTCTTTCACATATTCGTTTAATTTTTAGAAGGGAAATATACCTTTTGTTAAAAGGTGTTTGCAAGTAATAGTGATATTTTTATAACTATAAAAATTTTGTTAGGGTGTATTTGAGGTGTGTGAAAAATTTGACATATCGCCGATCTGCCATTGAAATACTACAGGGCGTTGTTTGAGTGTTTCTAGTTAGTGTTCATAAACATCTTTCACATACACATTCAATTTTTATGAGGGGAATATACCATCAGGTGAAAGGTGTTTGCAAGTAATAGTGATAGTTTTATAATTCAAAAAAAATTGTTAGTGTGTATTTGAGGTGTGTAAAAATATGACATATATCACGATCTGCCATTGAAATACTACAGGGCGTTGTTTGAGTGTTTCTAGTTATTGTTCT